CTCGAGAACGCCGACTCTTCCGACGTCTCGGAGGTCAATTCCGCACATAACCCTCATGACCAGCAGCATTTTGGCCTGACATACGATGCTCTCTTTACTTTGGCGCGGGACGCGTTCATTGCTACAAATGATACTGCACTCAGAGCTCTGCTTGGCGAATTCAGGGACCACGGACTTGTGGTAAGCGCAGCACAGCCTGGTACTAGTGGAAGTGAGGTGTTGTGGATACCTCTGAGGAAGGAGAGGTTATCAAAGCTAGTTGAGAACCTAGATGGGAACGCAGCATGATCGTGCGCCTGTCATACTAATTATTTAGAACCATGTTCTCGTGCTGTCTTCGTGAAGAACCACTGCCTGTATATAGGAGGCTGTAGGACAGAAAATACAAGATTTTGTTATTTCATACAAATATGGAAGCAATCGGACCAAAATAGCATCAATTCCGTCGGAAGCACAGGCGCGCACTGATCGAACCACTCAAACAGAACCACCATTTACTGCGCGTTTCATCGCGTTCAAACTTCTTGACAATGTCGACGACGACGAAAGACGAGTCAGAGCCTGTGGCAGACTTGAACCCCCGCTCGACGACCTATGAGTTCCTGGGCCCACCGGGTGCCTTTCTCATCTCATTCGGCGTCCCTTTCATGACGTATCTCCTATACTTTGGTTGTTCAGAAGAATCTGGCGGCTGCCCTCCCCCCTTGCAATCTGTTCCAGACCGGTTCGTGGAAGCATTGAGTGACAAGACATTTTGGGCAAGTCTGTGGGATACCGAGGCCAGTTTGATTTACATGGGATGGTACGCGTTTTGCGTTGTTGCATGGGCAGTGCTACCGGGAGATTGGGTTGAAGGAGTGACCATGCGTACTGGGGAGAAAAAGAAGTACAAAATCAATGGTTCGTGTCTGATGATAGCGACGAGCATTGGCGCTGATGCTGTTGTTATGCAGCTTTTTCGACATTCCTTTTTGCAATGGGCATCTCTTGTGGCTATATCGTTCGCAACGGTCCCGAGTCCTTCACCTTTTTGTATCAGAAATGGATAGGATTCGTCACTGCTTCGTTGGTCATGTCCTTGGTGCAGGCCTTCTACGTGTATGCAAGTTCGTACCGCACGGGCGCTCTCCTCGCGCTTGGTGGCAACTCAGGAAATTTCATTTATGACGTACGTTTCAAGTTCGCTTGTCAGTGCCGTTCATGACTCAAGTGACCCATTTAGTGGTACATTGGCCGTGAGCTGAACCCTTCCATTGGTTCTTTTGATATCAAGTCTTTCAATGAGCTCCGCCCTGGCCTCATCCTTTGGGTGTTGGTGAACATGAGCATGGTCTGCGAGCAAGCTGCACGTCGCGGAGGTTTCGCAAACGTGACCGACTCGATATGGGTTGTACTCGCATTCCAGACTTGGTATGTCGCTGATGCACTGTATAACGAGGTTGGTCTCTCCAATTCTACACAATTGAATTTGTACTAATCCAATATGCAGCCCGCCATTCTAACGACCATGGACATCACAACCGATGGTTTTGGGTTCATGCTTGCTGTTGGAGACCTCACCTGGGTGCCTTTTGTGTACTCGCTGCAGGCACGCTACCTTGTGTTCAAACCCGTTGAACTTGGACCCCTTCGTACTGCTGGAATACTTGCGTTCAATCTCCTTGGGTATTATATCTTCCGCGATGCCAATGGAGAGAAGAATGATTTCAGAAATGGACGTAACCCCAAGAGTGATTTTTTCCCCTTTCACAGATGCCTTTATCAATATTGATTTATTGCTGTTTAGATTTGAAATATTTCACGACGTCTACCGGCTCGAAGCTTCTCACTTCAGGATGGTGGGGTCGATCAAGACATCCCAACTACTTGTGAGTTCCTCTTTTTGTTCCCTGTGTTCTTGAGATTTGATTCGTGTTGTGCAGCGGCGACCTGCTGATGGCATTTGCATGGTCGCTTCCCACCGGGTTCGATACGCCAATTACATACTTCTATGTTGTGTACTTCGCGGTCCTGCTCATCCACAGGCAGCGCCGTGATGATGAAAATTGTGAGAAAAAGTGAGTCGGTCGTTCCTCTATGGTCGATGTATGCTGACCAGTTAACACCAGGTACGGCAAGGATTGGGAGACGTATAAGAAACTGGTACCATACCGTATTATTCCATACGTTTACTAGGAACGATAAATCGCTACTCACTTTATGGACGATCAACTTTTGGGAACGTTAATGTATTATGTTCTGCTGTCCAGGAACAATGTAGATTCCCTGATCAGGTAATACAGAGATATTTGTTTGTCGTCTTGTCACTGTCCAGCATCAAATTTTATCATGCAAACGACAGCTGACCGTTTCGCTCCCAGACTGGCGCGCTTCCAATATTACGGGATGACACGCTCCAAGGTTGGAGCTCGAGGCTTGGCGCTTAGGTCCTGCCACTGGTGATGTATCACATCGGGGTGAACGATATTTAAAAGAGGTTTATATGTTGTACAAAATGTGCAGACAATATTTAATATTTAAACTAACATAAAGATGGGTGCACGACTTCAAATTTTGGTGGTGTTTTGTGTGTAATCCAAAATATCAAATATTCACAACCATATTCCCACAGACAATATGTCAACAAACATAAGAAATATAGTCAGATTTTTCATGTCTGCTTCAACTTAAAGTTCAATTTCCATGTAAAACTTTGGAGAAAACTTGAAGTTTTACAGATGACATGACATTAAAACTCGATTTAAATGTCAAGCTTTGGCAAAACTTCAAGTTTTCTCCAAAGTTTTATGTAAGAATCAAACTTTAAATTGAAGCAGACATGGAAAATATGATTATATTTATTATATTTGTTGACATATTGTCTGTGGGAATATGGTTGTGAATATTTGATATTTTGGATGACACACAAAACACCACCAAAATTTGAAGTCGTGCACCCATCTTTATGTTAGTTTAAATATCAAATATTGTTTTCACATTTTGTACAACATATAAACCTCTTTTAAATATCATTCACCCCGATGTGTATGACAGAAGTCTATGATGTGTATCATTAGCGCTACAAATGCTGGAAAATCCATTTCCCTGAAGGTATGCATCAGTGGAGCCGCTTTTATTACGAGATCAATTACATAATCAAAATTAACTTTCGAGTCGGAGAGCGCCAAGTTCATGGACCAGTGGAGACAACTTATTAGTTGCTCGCTCCACTACACACTATAGCTAGACCGATTTGCTACTTGAAAAGAAGGCAAGATAGGGAATTCAAGATCGTTAATTTTTAGGTATATCTTCTCGTGCAAAACATCCACGCTGTCACGCTTGCTTGCACTTCTGGGATCCATCGCGCTGTTTACCCAGGCGCTCTTCCTAAACCTGGAGATACTTCTTACTTCGAAGCGATCTCCAACCACAGAGTGCGTGCGACTCGAGCTACTCCAAGGATGTCATCGATTTTCAGACGCGGGCCGTATACTGCCTTCCTTGAAGTTCCTGCATAATGTCACTCATGGACACGCAGACAGACGAGAAAGGACGTGGTTCGATATCTGAATCCATCTTCGTGTTGGCGAGAGGAAACTTGCCTTCCCATCGTGACGTCCACGGACATCACAACTGATGGTTTGTACTGTTTGGGACCTCAGTTGGTTGCCTTTTTGTGTACTCGCTACAGGTGCACTACCTTATACTCAAGTCCGTACTCAGGCGTGCGTCAATCTCTCGACCTCATCAGAGAGAATCGTTCTTCAGTTTCGACACTCAAAGAAGCAGAGCAGGCTCTTCCAGACGCACCCGAACATACGCCAGACTACCTCGCGATGTTGACACGTCCAAACACGCCTCCCCATCGACTGGATCTGAAACTCAATGCCGTATGCGCAATACAACGAAATATGTACGTCGAAACCGGATTAGTACGGAATGCTAGAGTGCGCACCTCTGCAGATTCGTTGAGGTTCAGATTCCTCATAGTACCAGAGAGATACATTACCTGCCTCGGATCTCCTTCTCTTTCAGTTCGGCGTGTTCAAGCTGGACCATGAATCGCGACAGTTTCCCCTGCGGTCTGCCTATGCGACGACGCTCGAAAAGACCTCGCTTGACCTGCACACGGATTCGTTCGCACACGGGCAGCTATACACCAGCACTTTCAAGAGTACGATGTCACTGGGACATTCGAGCGCTATTTCTGAGAAGATGAAAGACTACCACAAGTGTACAGACGTACGGACATTTCTTATTACAATTCACGATAGAAAACGTCTGACGGTGAACGGACCGAAGCCTTGTATGATTTTAGCAACACAGAAACGCAGATCTATAAAAATATCTGAAGTACGTGTGTACATTCATATGAGTCCAGCTTCGTCTGGCCCAAAAGTCGCTGACCTGATCTGACAGGTTGGGCTAGACCGAGCGTTAGCTCAGAGTGGGACACAAGCAGGTAGAGCTCTGAGGGATAACTGCTTACAAATTCGACCATGTCGAACGACTCTTTGAGTAACCACGAAACGATTATGCATTATATAAAAACTTCAATAAGAACAATCGATTAGGAGAAACTATGTATGAAGTGAGGGTGCGAAGACGAAAAAAAGGAGTGGCTGTACGACGAACTCAAGTGGCACGTGGTAGAGGGAGAAAACGAACGTAGGAAGCGAACAGCGCGTTCGCTTGGCAGTTGGACTCGTGGTGCCAGTTCATTCCGGCAGGCTACATCACCTGGCACCTCTACAAGCACTGGAGTTATCAACGTGATTTTCGGCTGATGGAGCTCGACAATCTAATGTGCGAGTAAATACAGAGTCTCAGAAATTTGATGGCACTATAATCGAACGGCAAAGAAATTGAGTGAATGAAGGATCCGGTATGTGCATGCGTGAATAGCGGTGAAGGTGATTGATCATAGCATAATTATGGTCGAGCTGAAGCGACGATTATTAGAGCATCTCTACGGTTAAGTTGCATGTTGACTTACCTAGTTGCTCTTTGCGGTAGAACTAGAAGTAACCTAGTACAATGACAGTCTGGCAGGTCAGCGCCAGCCAGAATGGAGCGGAGGCCATCGGGCTGCCCTTGAGACCATGCGAGAAGTCCCATGTTCCGACATCAGGGAATACGCTCCCTGGGCCGATGCGGTTTGATGCAGTTGCGCGGGCGGCCATGACACAGATAGACCCAATGACCTGAGCGAGAGCGAGCGCGGAACAGACGTGTAATCTTGACAACGTCTGCAGGAGAATCATTCCCAAGCCAACACCCTGTACAGCATCTTAAATGCCGAGCCAAAGCCACAGAGAAAGACCAAGGTATGGTCCCCCTGAGCCAGCCCACGGAATATAGAGCGCAAGAGACGAGGTGCCCCACAATGTCTGTGACACATGTTAGATGACTGAAGATTGATGCAAGATTGACAAGATCATACCTGGCACCATCTTGGAGCGCCGAGGCCGACAGCGAACACAGGCAACAACCAAGTATGGGTCTTACTCAAAGACGTGAGGATATAGAACATGAGAACCCAGACACCGACGAAAAAGAAGATTATGAGAAGCAAGATCGCCCACTTGGGGATTGAAACATTCCACAGGAAACTCCAGTTGCGACCGTAGGGCTGCAATAAGGTCAGAACATAAGGATATCAATGCATCAGGCCTAACATACACCGCTGAGCCAATAATCACATAAGATTTCCGATGCGAGGAACCTTGGGTGGAGTCACTCAGCATCATCAACTTGGCCGCGAGCAAGAAGACCCTAACCAAAGAACTAGCTTCCTTCGGAAGAGAGTTTTGAGGAAGTTTGGAACTTTCGGAGGAGTTTGTTGGTAGTACTCTGTTTTGTAGTTGGTATTATTGTCCTGCTCGAAAATTCAGACAGGACTTACCTGGCAGTCCATGCAGCATCAAGTATGCAAACGCAAATGACATCACTGAGAGCGGCCACAATATAAAGACAATCCACCAAGGCGTAACGGACCCAGGCGTCGCGGTATTCAGTGTGTTACCCCAGTACCATAGGGCAGCCACCCAGATCTGTTGAGAACCTTGTACAATGCAAGCGCGCAGTGTCCAGACTTCAGTAGGGGCAGCCTAAAGAACAAACATCAGCTGCATACAAATGGACCCCAAAAAATGACGCACCGCTTCTTCTCCAAAGTTCAAGCCGAAAAAGATGAAAGCAGCAGCAGAAGCGACAGCATATGACCAAGTGGCAATGTCCGATAAGATGGTATGACATCAGGAAATCAACCCGGAATTGATATGACCAGGTAGAGCTGACAAATACAACCCATTATGATACATCTAGATTTGGAATTAAATACTATTATGTTTGCACAACATGTATATGAAAGAATACATGACTTTGCCTGGGGCATGTCATTGTGATGTGCGCATTGCAAGTATGCATCACATATATGAGAGAATATATAGCTTTGCCTGGGGCATGTCATTGTGATGTGCACATTATGTTTGTACAACATGTATATGAAAGAATATATGACTTTGCCTGGGGCATGTCATTGTGATGTGCACATTGTGAGGATGTGTCACATATATGAGACTTTGCCTTGGACATATCATTGTGATGTGTGCATTGTGAGGGTGCATCACATATATTAGAGAATATATGGCTTTGCCTGGGACATGTCATTGTGATGTGCGCATTGCGAGGACACATCACATATATGAGATAATATGTGGCTTTGCCTGGGGCATGTCATTGTGATGTGTGCATTGTGAGGACATATCACATATATGAGAGAATATATGGCTTTGCCTGGGACATGTCATTGTGATGTGTGCATTGCGAGGACGCATCACATATACAAGAGAATATATGGCATTGCCTGGGACATGTTATTGTAATGTGCACATTGCGAGGATGCATCACATATATGAGAGAATATACAGCTTTGCCTTGGACATGTCATTGTGATGTGCACATTGCGAGGATGCATCACATATACAAGAAAATATATGGCTTTGCCTTGGACATGTCATTGTGATGTGCACATTGCGAGGACACATCACATATACAAGAGAATATATGGCTTTGCCTGGGACATGTCATCATGATGTGTGTATTGCAGTGGAAGGAAGACAACTACTGAAGAAAAAGACATATTAATGGATTATGCTCCTACTGCATCAGCAAAATCTCTGATTCCCTTTTTCTACTTAAATGACTTAATGAGCACAAATAAGCAAACATCAACAGGAGCACTGGATAAGCAAGTGCGACTTATTCAGACAAGTCAATCGTCTTAATCCTCTGGTATTGAGAAGAAAAGTGTGCATTGTGCTCAACTACTAGTAAAATAAGTAAGCTAATGAAATGCAAAAAAACAACTCGAATTGATTAATACTAGTAATAGGATCCAGCAAACGCAGATGATTTGAACTTGGAATACTTCGCAATTGGCAGACAGAGAATAATGGTAGTGCAGAGGATAGGAAAAATAGTGCCAGACTGGGAGTCTGTTGAGATTTTTTTAAAAGTAAGTCGGTGAGGTGGGGGAGAGACAAAACTTACAAATGAGGGCGCACTCACCAACACTCTCAACATCATCATCTGAGAAATTTCCCCTCAGAGACTTCTTCATAAGCCTTCACGCACAGGAATGATTGGACAATGGCAAGACGTGCTGAAACAAACCTTCTCCAGCTGTTGCTTTTCCTGCAAGTTCTAAGATACGACCGGACAATGCTTTATCGAACATACAAAAAACTTGCAAGTACAGCCTGAGTGAACATTTAAACTATTCGGCTCATGAGCAGTGCTTGCATGAGCCACTCCGTGACGTGACCACTAGATGAGACCGTCAACATTGTGTGTAGGTGGATAAGTAAAGGTGCTTGCCAGAGTATTGCCACAAAGTTGATACGGTAGTGCATTGAGTTCTCAATTAGTGCAATGGGATCACTAGGTGTATCGCGAAGGTCTATCCAGATCACCTCAGTATATTTGGTACTGCAAGCAAAGCACTTACAATTTGCCACGAGCTAACCTCTGCTTAAGAGAAGTAAACACGCTAACACTGCGAATGCGCATAGAATATGTGAGCCAGAAGATCGCAATGATCTACAGAAGGAACATCAGCATCAGATCTGAGCAAAATCTGACAGTGTCTCACATTAAACACAGCGAATCCAAAGACAATGCCCAGGTTTCGCCAGTGATCACTATATTTAATGTTGAACCTCAAGTACATATACTCGTCTGTGGTCTTGTAGGGACAGTACTGGCAGCCCTCTACAGCTCCAGGGTTTGTGAGGTAGCCACCAGCGAATTTGAGAAACGGATCCATGTACTCGCTGCAAGTCATACCCATCGGCAGGTTGACGGAGACTAGTTCCGTAGAGGAGCAGATAATGGTTTGACTGCCAACAGCTAGGAGGACTAATATAAGTACAATTGTTCGGCAAGAAATCATTCATGAACCTTGACCAAGGAGGCCCTGTACATCCATTTCCACCAGTTCAGCTCGAAGAACGGCTGAACGACACCATCACTGGTAGATTGTTAGCATGAGCTGGCGTGGCTCAAAATGTGCGTCTCACAAGATCAGCATGAAGATCATGAGAGTTGTGAAGTATATGGATGCAACTGGAGCGGTTGGTGCCATGGATGCGATACCATGTCCAAGTGTGGTATAGTAGAACAGGAAGGCGATGGAGAGGGCGAGGAAGGAGTAACCAGCCCGGCCTGTGGGGTATCCAATGGTCCAGTACCAGCACAAAAAGAATATCGCTGAACTTGTGATATTCCAAGGAAGCTCAGCGACAAGCTGGGACATGACAAGAGCAGTCCAGTTATATGTTCTAGTGTGAAGAAGTTTGGACGCGATGAAACGCGCGGTAAATGGTGGTTCTGTTTGAGTTGTTCTATCAGTGTGTGAAGAACAAGTTTGAAGTCGACATACCAGAAACAGAAGAAGTACAGAAGCCAACTCCGAGAGAGCACGCTGCATTCTTCCATGAAAGTTGAGTAAGATGTGGGTGAGGATTGTAGCCTGCATGATATTAGGAACTCCAGACTTACCATTGGATCAGTTAAAGAAGTCTGTCTTGGTATTTTTGTCATTTGAAATTGGCCCTTCGTGCTGCTTCGATGACAGGTTCAATATCAAGTGAGTGAAGCCTTCGTTGAGGTGGAATATCTGCATGACTCAGAATGTTCTGGAAAATGATCATGAAGTATAGTAAAGCCTTGATACAAATGTGTCACTTGCCATGCATTTCTGTATGGTCTCTGCACCGTGTGCACACTTACTAGCCAGTGATAGCATACTACAACTTTCAACAACTTGCTCCTTGGTCTTTGTGACCCAATCGGCGGCGGTGATTCAGAGCATGTGTTCAAATTGAAGTTCGAGCACCATGATCGGACATGTTGATGGAGAGTCCAGTATGAGCTACCTAGTAGCACATTAGCGAAATAGTAGTATGTCATGTGAGGTAGTACCAATAGTTAGTAGACACGTCAGGAAGAAAATGAGTTAAGAAAGATAATAAGTAGTCACAGATGATGGCTTATGGTAGGAAATACTAGTATATGCCGATACAGCTGCAAATGTGATTGGTATACTGGGAGTCCGTGAGCAACATGTCATATTGCTATCTACAGACTCCACTTGTAACACTCCGCAACTAGTATCTCCAAGGTCATAGCATAGCACACACATCCAAGTCATTGAATCAGTAAAGCGGCTATGGGACCACAAAACGCTGTGAGTAGCTTCAATATCTGCATTGATCTCAGTCTCGCACTCAAATCACATCAGCGGGCATGTGGATTTCATGGCTTGAAGGAAAGGCTGAAGGCCGGGATAGAAGGGTCGCTTTCGCAGAAAGTAACTATTAGACCAAGGCTAGTGCGAACTAGTAAATGGTGCGTACCTCGCCTTTCATGTCTGATTGCACTGATATCCATGATCCAGTGAAGGGAAGATTGGGGAAGATTGTGAGATGACAGGTGTTGAGAGGCAAAGGAGAGTCGTCACGGACAGCGGGGGGCGGAAGTATGGTCTCCCGTTGGGGAGGAAGACCCAGGTGAATTTGAGGCGGTGGTGAGATAGGCTTTTTAGATCGGTGAGGGAGAGTCGTGACCGATGAGATATGGAAGTATGGTTACCCTCGAATATACCTACAATGGCTCCAACAAGGGCCTGAGATTGTGGGGTTTTTTTCTGCTAAAGATGACATGAGTACATTCATAAAATTGGCTCGAATATGATCTCACTATTGCGCAGTCTAGTTTGTATTTTGCTACCCACAGGAACTCAAGGCTTTAAATCTCGTTAATTTTGTCAAAATGTCGCGCTCAACTGACAGCAGTTGTTATCACAAGTAAGGAATACAAATAACATAGATGAAGTCCAACTTACATACAGCCAACTGATGGAGAATACCATATAACAGTGATAGTTATCGTGGATGTATACCAAAGACTTCGACTGTAGAAGGAGAATAGCTACATACCGGGAGTACAAGTAAAACCAAGAGGATCACAAAAATTCAATATCGGAAGAGCCATACGAGGTCGACACCCAATCGTCAAACTGATCTTCGATATAGTCGTCAGGCAAAAGTGATGCATGTGTCACAGCGCTTACAGAAGATGTAGCTACAAAGAGATTCTTAGTATGAGAAAATGAAAGTATAAGCTACTGCCCACCGTCATCACCAAACTCAGAAATGTGTGATATGGCTTCGGAAAGCATGTCCACTTCAGATTGCGTGCATTGCTTCTTTAGGCCCAGAATATAGATATCGGACTTAAGAACCTCATGGGTTTTCTGCTCCTTTGCTTTGAAGCTATCATTGTCGTGAATGTAAAGGGGCTTGGCTTCTGCAAAGGTCGCATTCATGTATGCATGATAGGTGACATTGTCAACCCAAGCTTTCAATGAGCGAGGGAGGGAAAGAAATTGATCGTTAGACTGCCTAGTGTCAGAACCCTAGTTCACCATAGCATAGATAGGACTTACTCTGGGAGAAATTTCTGCTGTTTTCAGGGAACCAAGTGTTCCAGTTGCATTGGAATCAACCTGTGTGATGTCTAGAAAATGGGATGGTGCATGGAGCCATGCATTGCATTTGTCTCAAATGACCTGTGAAGGTTCAAAGTGATCGAGGCTGACCGGGTTGAGCTCTGGGGATGCCTCTGCATATGCAATAGTGTTCACTGGGGGCTTCTGTGTGCTAACTGCTAGTAACATTTCATGAGGACCGGGCACAGTACATTGAACATCATGGCTCACTTGGGTAATTTCTAGTTTCCAGGTATTCACACAAGTTTGCAATAGCATTACTAAATAATGAAATTTCCATCTGAGCTCGATGCATCCTGTCTTCCTTCAAACATGCCCCCTGCGAATGGAATCCTGTGTAACTCATATCTTCCTCTTGCTGAAGCTGTGTCTGCATTGTGATCTCTCTTAGGCTCATGTCAAGGAGAGCTGTGATATCATGAGTGTTGACCCATCCAGATAGTATGGAAGCTGTGGTCAAGAGAGAGTCTGGAAGCTAGAAATGAAATCAGAAAAAGTACTTGAAGATGCACCAACGAGCTTACCATGTCACATCCCTCGGCTTGGAGCCAAGCTAGTAGGGCTGTCTCATTCTGTTCAATTCCAAGAAAATTAGTCTTGGAAGTAGTTTCACATGTGGAATTGATATTTGGCATGTCAACATTGGAGAGGAGGTTAAGGTGTTATTCTTACGATCGATGAACACTCACACAACCCACAATAGGTTTGCTTATATTTGATCTGGGTGATGCATTGTCGCTGAGGTGGTAAATGACATGTAAGCGAGTGGTGTACAGGAATGGCTGATGGCCATCAAACTCTAAAAACATGATAGGTTAGATTAAATGGATAAAATAATAAATAAATAAATAATTTTACGACAAGTCCGAGTCTTGGCTGCCTTCCTCGCGGGTCTGCAAAATAATGGCGGACGTGGATGAACATGCGAATGCAAGTAATGAATGTGGTACACACCGCAGGATAGCAGCACCCCTCCCTTTCCCAACTATGGCAGGGATTGGGTGTGATCGAGCGACCTGCTAATTTTTAAGAGCTGCAAGGATTTTAAGAAGTTGGATTTGTACCCGGCATGAGGAATATCACAACTGCAGTCTACAAAATCAATTTCATGGATAGAGCAACTCTTAAACGAGAATCAAAAATTACACCAAAAAGAAGTTTATTGCTTTAAGCTATGCTTTTATATAACTGTATCAAGGTGGTGATAGTGCCTACTATTGCGCATGGTCAGTACTTATAGCCTTGATCCAGAACAGAATGCTTATGGTGGAATTGTGGGCATATGTGTATGGGTTGAAGCATGGTGACATCATGATAGCAGAGTCAATGGTATCTGGCAGACATCCTACAATCAGACTAAAGATTACATTTGGTTGTCCGCAATTTTTACATCATAACCAAGGTTTGCAGTCCAATGGTCACAAACCTGTACATTTCAAAAGCAGGTGTTACAAATAGAACCATGACAAACTTAGATATCAGTCAGCATTGGACGGCCTGGCAGCATTTGACTGCCCAATACGGTACACATCCATTTCACTGGATGTCCATTTCATTAGAAGTAGTACAGTGACCATATTCCGTTGTATCATAAGCAAACTCACATTATGAGACACAATTGTCTTAACTCAGCTCTGAGACGTGCAATGTTCAGATCATTCTCCTGCTGGAGCAGCATGACAGCCATCTCGCGAAGTTCGCTGTGTATTTGAGCCGCGCTAGGATAATCTGGCATCATCTCATTTGCCCCGCAGAGGGACAAGAGTCTTGCCCAAAGGGCTTGGTAACACTAATGGAACAAAAAATGTGAACAGTACATCCAGATTCGGAGTAAAAGGCACTGACACTGGATCCCACCAAGGCCAATGTTTCCACTGGTGGATTGGCGACAGTCCTGAATGTAGCAGGCTCTAAGTCAGCGATGGTAAATCGGATGCAGCACGTCGATGTGGTCCTGAAGATCATGTGATAAATAAGCTCTTTAGCAATCTGATGCATGAGGAATGTGGCGAAACCATTAATCTGCGGGCAAAATAAGTGTTGGATAGCGAAGGTAAAGTCTGGAGAATATTCACCTCAATTGGGAGCATATGTGCATGGGGATACATGAGCATCTTTAGCAGGTCAACAATGATCCCCCTTTGTGCTAACCCAAAGAAACCACACAGGCCAAAGATACGAGGGTCATCCATGCTGTTGACCACTACATGACGATTGTCATACAGGAACTGCGTAACCCATGGACTAGCCTATCCTAGAATAAGACCTGATAAAAATGAACAAAAGACAACATACGAGCACTAAGACATCACTGTGTGACATTGGAAGTTGTGTGACTTTGGTTAGCACTAGGAAGGATTCAGCATATGCAAATATTAGAGAAATTGAGTTCCTGACCTGGTTCCAAGTCCTCAGAGGCGACATTAGCGCGTAAAAGGCATTCAGGCCAAATGCTGCGAATGAGCTCCAATCGACGCATAGAAAAATCCACGTTGACGAGGAGATGGGGATTATCACAGTGACCACAACAAATAGCGATCCTCAGAAGCATACGCAAGTATGCGAGAGCCCTGCGCCAATTCAGGCACATCTCCATGATTTGGTGCAAACTGTGCACAGCTTGGACCTTTTTGCCTGGGCGTGGCTGCTGGTGTCCCACAGTGGTGTGAGGAGTGTCGAGTGTCATGGCCGAGGAGCCGATCCACGTCATCTGGGCGATTGTCAATCTGTCAACCGAAGTATCAATACCAGGAACTGAGACATAGTTCCCGAAAGGGTACGCCGTGAGGTGCACTTTGACTTCAGACTCATGGGCACGAGCCACATCCATCTATGATAATTCAGTGCAAGAACAGATACTAAAAGTACAAGGCAGACATACATAGTGATAAACACCATGAAGTACAGTGTCAAGGCCAGTCCTGCCCCACACCCACCGCAAATTCAAAAAAGGAATAGTGGTTTCCATAGCCTGTGCCTACATGCATAATGAGTGCCAGTGGGATTGTTAGATGGGATTGAGCCTACTACTGCAGCAAACAATGGAACCTCAAATCCAGGGAGCTCCAATGCCGAGCTATGCACGATGGGGGTTTCCAAATAACCAACTACGGCAAGCTGGCTCTTGAGCTGGAAAAAGTCAGGATAGTGTGGGACCCATGGAAAAAATCACCTACAGCGTCGAGGCCAAGAGGGGGAGACTATGTGCATAATAAAGATATGAAATAATTTGGCAAAACAAATAGATACTCACATATAGAGGATATATCACTGGCTGTTCTGGGTTCGGGTACTGCAGGACGTAGCCAATGAATTCAATGTTGATGGTGGGGACACTCTGATGGGACGGTGAGTAAGATTTTCCGTCTTCGCCAGGCGCAAACCACTTACTGAGAACGACACAAGCATGTTGAAGGTGGGCTCGAACAGAATCACATCATGGTTGTTGTCCACTATGGTGATCAACGTACTGGTGTTGATGCGCTCCGATGCAGAGGAAGCATGATTGAAGGAGGTAGACATGTTGGCTAAGGAAAATACGAGCAATGCTGATGCGTATTTATGTAGGGCTCCTACCAGTAACCGGATTACTGTGACTGAGTGTAACAAGTCACAAAGTGATGCATTCAGGCTGAAAAATACATACCTCACTTAAGCTACTTCGTCAATAAGAGTCATAGGATGACAATTGGCCATCAGAACACTACCAAAGAACAAATAGCGGGGAACTACATACATACAAATTTCTGAATGTTACCTGACATTAGACAGGAAATGGCAACTAGTAACCACAGACAGGAGACTGTGTAGGGCATTAGAGCAAGTCACAAGGTATTCAAGTTACACATGTACGTACCTATTTTGAAATTGTATCACATGTGGCTTAGAATGCCAATGGACCATCGCAGCGCCATCGAGGGGCTCATTACGTGCGCCATCATAGCATTATATTAGGGTGAATGCCTTATGCCTTATTATGTGCAACATCACACAGGTATGTATCTCGGTGTAGAAACAACTATACAATGAGGAACAAAAGAAGCTCCTGACTGTATCTGTAAAAGTTGTAAGGTCGCGCGCTGCCTAGTCTGCGTTACTTGAGAAGCAAGTGCGTTCGACCCTATAGGGGAAGTGAGTGCAGCAAGGATCTAGAAGTGTGCGCTTAAGCGAAGCGCGAGAAAGCGCGCAAGGTACAAAGGCGCGGGAACGCGCGCGCGTATTAGCGCGAAGCGCGGGAAAGTGCGCGCGCGTATGCGGAAATGAGAAACTAAGCTTAAGTAGTGATATAAAGCAAGATAAGAGATATAAGAGTGCAAAATGTAAAGGAATAGCTTTCTACTATATTCTGCTAAGTAGTAAGTGGGTAGTAACTAGTAAGTGAAAAGTAGGAAAAGTAGGTCCTGTGTAGTATGTACTGCTAGCGCTTATATAGCGCGCCTAAGCGCGCTCATGCGGAGCCGAAGCGCTACCGAGTAGGTATGTAAAAATATATATGAGTGAGAAACTATGATAAAAATAAAGGTGGAACTATGCTAATAAAGGAAATGGAAATATACATACTAGGGAGCTTGGTGGACAGTGGATGGATGCATCTGGATGGCTGGCGCTATAGGGCGCGCCGTATACATTGTGAAGCGCGGGAATGGTGCGCGCATGGCGCGCGTTGCGTGGGAAAGCTGCGCCTCATATAGAGATAGCTGCGGGTAGCGCACAGAGTAATGCTATGAGTTCGTGCTGTATACTCCTTGGTGAAAACTACCATATCACGCCATGAGAGGCATGATTCTCTACATCGGTCTTGTATTACATCACAACACCCGCCCACAGGACTTAGATAGTAATCTATGAGGTAATGTGATAAGGCCTGGGATTTAGTTCTCATAATCAAGTTCTAGTTCACTATTGTACATCTCATCAAATTGAGATGATAGTGATTCATTGCTGGAGCCATGCAAAATTGAAGTCTCATTGTCTTCAGATGCAGAATCTTCTTCATCTTCTTCGTCACCTTCAATGACCTCGAGGTGGTCTATGGGGACTTCAATAGCATGTGCAATGATGGCTGGTCATGTGCTGGCTCCATTCGGAGGCTCAGATTCCGAAGTGCGGTGATGAGAGTAAATGTGACCAACTCCCAGGCCAAAATGGAAACACATGAGCATATCATGGTCCACGAAACTGAAAATGATGAGCTCGACACAAGTGATGTGTGACCCTTGCTTACCGATTAACATAGTACTCCTGCCAATCATCCTTGTCCCCTGCACATGCTGACACACCTGGTCCACGGAAGTGCTTCTTTTTGCTGGCGAAAGATGGTATAATGTGGCAACCCCTGATAACATCCGCTGGATCCAGAAAGTCAAGCGAATGTTTGTCTGCCAAGGGCAGAAATTTAACCCAATCTAGAGTTGATGTATTCCATGTAGAGACTTCATCTATGGGCTCATACCATTGCACCCATAAAAACTCCATTTGGAGTGGAGTGTAGTCAACCATCCCCCTTCCGATCACGATTATATTGACATGGTATATCCCCAGTACCTTACCATAAACAAACCTGTGACCTTGGGACTCTATATCATTGTCGCCACTCAGGACCATGACGTTACAGTGGGAGGTCCATGGATTGATGACATCTTGGGCTCTACGAACATCATACGTAGTGAAGTTAAACCTGGCAATATTATGTTGATAAATTCGATCGTCTTTGAGGATAATTGTGTTGATGTCATTCTCATCTGCTGACAGGATATTTCTTGACTCGGTGGAGGAGATGAGTCTTGAGTTTCGTCACAAAGTTCTGCCAAGGGATGTGCAAGGTCATTTGCACAAGTATCATTAGACTAACCTTAATCGCCGGATCACCTTCATGACCACGCAAGAAGGATCCGATATGTACAGTGTGTTTTTGTGTGAGCCCAATGTGGTGGTGGGCATCTGGGCTTCTCACTAACTCTGCAATTTCGAGGTGGGGATGATGAAAAATTCTGTTGCCTATATGATGAATACGAGCCTGGTGGCATTCAATCTGAGTGAGCTGTTTCACAAACAGCCTGCGATCGGTGCAGCGGTATCTGGCCTTGGGCGAATGATATTCAAGTTCGCCCTGGAAAGTCGGTCAGCTAAGTCCAAATATGAATGACAGGACTGACTGGTTCGGTGCTGTAAGAATCGGCCATACCGTACCAACATATTGTTGATACATAATCCCCCAGGGTGTGGAACTTGTATGTCTGGAAATTAAAAACCTTTTTTTTCGTATGTTTTTGACAACATTATCTAACACCTCCACTTGCTCAGTAACATGAGCAGCTTGCTTGCCCTTATGTTTTGCAGCTTTCTTTGCATTTCATTGGGCGCAAGCCTTGACCTCCTGGGAAAGTTTGTGAGTCTCATATGTGGAGCAAACTTTAGCTTTGAAATTGTGAAATTGCCGGCCGACAGCCGAAGTCACTTGATCCATGATGTCTAGGGTTAAGTCAGAATGCATTCGGAGCTTAGCCAGCCCATGCCAATGGGCCATTGTAAACAGTAACTGGAGGATGACTGTGTTGTGTGGTCCAGGCAGAAGACCATCAAATACAAGGATGGAACACTGCACACTTCGTCAGCTCTATCTGACTCCAATGGTGGTCTTGGAGGTCATACCTGAAGGAGGTCCTCAAAATTATGAGCTGCCATCCATTTCATGTCCGAAGAGTTGGATGAAAATTTTCGAATGGTAGCCTGGCCAAACGTCGGAGTCTGCCTGTATCTAGTGGGAGAGCTCAATTGAATGAGGCAAGTTCATTCGGATGAGCCATACCTCCGGTCCAATTCATGGATGAGACATTTATCATGTGAAACAATGATGCGGAGCAGATGCGAAAAGCATCTTCCACACGCCTATCTCAAACTCGTGTAATAGATCTACCATGAGTGCACAGAAGATGTTGAAACCCATATGACCAAGATGGTCAGAGAATGCATTCTATTGTAATAGGGTTAGCTGTTATCACTAACGGGAATCCAAGTCTTACGGAGGTAGGCACCCAGGACTGTGGTTTGAGAATTTTTTCTATCGATGTGCTACCGACTGCTAAGTTCCTGTCATAAATCAGTGAACATGCAGTATCAACCATCATGCGTCTTTTTGAATCGTCACGCTCCAGAGTCTTGCGTTGTTGTCGATCTTGAGGCATTCCTATATTCTGAATCTGATCCTTGGGTATGAGACAACGAGGACACGGACACCCTCCCAGGTTTTGAAGTACCCTGAAACAGAATTGAATGTCATCCAATGCAACAAGGATATCACGTACTTTTCTGGATAGTCTCCAGAGTAGGTGAATATTCTTGGGTAGAACCTACGCTTGATGCCATTGCAGCAGCAAATGACGATACCATGCTCGTACGCTTCAAGAAACTTGTCATCGAGCAAGATCTTCCACTGCTTGTGGTAGAATTCCCTGCGACAGTGCGTTGCGCATTCAGCAGTCATACCTTTCCCATTCATAAAATCTTTGATTGAGTCTGGGAGCTGGTATGGTGAGATTAGCTATACACTAAAGGTAAATGCGGACAGGCACACCGTCTCAAAGTAAGCCACATGGTTACTCAAGTTGAGTGATGGCTTGCAACAGCAGTACTTGGACTCATTGCTGAAGTATATGTAAGTAGGCCATAGCTTGGCATTGCCAAATGAAGTAAGTTGCGTCGTGTCAGACCAAAACATAAGGCCAGCTACAACACAAGGTAAATTACAGCCAGGTTCTCCCAGCAATTCTTGCAGTTTGGTGTGAGCTTCCTGGAAAGCTGGGGATGTGTATAGATCTCCATATATGGAGACCTCAGCGTCCAGGTGGGGAGGAGCCCAACGCAACTCGTACAGTTCATAATGAAACAGTTTGTCATCTCGAGGATTGGCTAGCTTCTCCCGCAAAACAGCGATGAGCGAATGATGATATAAGTGTGCTGCATCATAAACCCAAGGACCTGGTGTTTCTGTGGTGTGAGACGAAGGTACCTTAATGGAGACCGGTGTTTTCTTCCATCCGGCGTCTTTGTCTTCCCATTCTTCCCCTTCTCCCTCATCATACTCATTTGTACCCAGTTTTGAGTTAATTTTCTTCCAGGATGTAGAGCTCACATTGGCAGCATTGAAGGAACTGTTGCCTACAATCCCCAAGAGTTTAGTATAAGCCGCCTGAAACTTTTGTACCCCCTGGTTCCAGTACCAATCACCAAGGTGAAAGGAGGAACAATTGGGATAGGGGTGGTAGATAGAATTATTGCTCGAAGTAACACCTTCCTGGAAGGACTCATTGACTTGAGGGATGCCAGAAATTAACAAAAGGTCCATGCTCGTTATGTACTCTTCCAGATTGTGAGATGCTGGTTTACCGGATACGTATTGGCGAACTAGACCAAAGATGTTCAGGGGAGTGCGGAACACAGCACGGACTGGATGGGCTAGATGGGTTTCAGCACTGACAACAGATCCGACTGATTCCAGAAGTAGGTCGTGCAATTCTGAGGGAACAGTAGATGGAGGTTGAGGTAGTACATCTCTGAATCTCTTCAGCAACTGTCGATTCTGACACCTAGGTCTGCGCTGCGCCAGACTCATGTCCTCCCCTTCCTCCATGTCACCTCCTTCACAGTCATGGTTACCTAATTCTTCAGAAGCTCATGGTGCAGACATCACAGTTTCGGGACGTTGAAACGCTGGTGGTGAAGGATTGACTTCACTCGCGGGTGAGGGGCTGGTGCGCAAAGATACCACGACAGTTTCATCCTTGGAGGTGCGTAGCTTTTTCCTACGGCTTACAAACTCTTTGAAAGAGGTTATTGCCAACGAAAGATGCTTTTTTGTCATCAAGCATGAGTGTTGATGTTGAATGAAGTAGTTCTGCGCCATAAAAGTGCGCCCGCAAATGCAACTGTAATGGGACACTGACATGTGGGGTAGATAACTAGAGCAAAAAGTGTCACTCGAGCAAGGAGTCTACGGATGAAGGTAACCAAAAAACAGCAAGATGCTATGGCGCAGTGATAGCAGCTTAGATGTGTAATGGGTGCCATTACTGCCATACATAGCCAGGAACACAATGGTGCTGAGATGATGGGCCACAGACGGGGATATATACTTTCAGGTGTGTGAATGCCAGGCCTATCCAACAGCAACCTGCAATGTCTGTGCCACCTTCCCCATCTTCTTCTGCATACTCAACCATGGAACCCACAAGATTTAAAGCCGACCCCAAGGTGGTGGAGATCTTAGTGAGGATCATAACTGCATGCCATGGTATACTTCATTACCATGGCCAAACAAGAGAACTGGCAATGTTTCAATGGTAGATTAGTTATTTGCATGGAGATCATAACTAAAATAACACATACAACTGATCTACAGGCCAACCACTCGACATGGGCACAAAATCCACCCTTCATCATTTGCTGAATATTGTGAGGTGCATGCTTTCTGATACCCATGTTGCCTTTGCGGCACGGGTGACCGGTACATTGAGGTGTCAATATTCCAATGAACTGAAGGGATATGTTGGGGGGAGTACATCGCTGAATGCACAACCCAAACTTGCGGCTACATGCGTTGGGTGACTTTCTTCAATCAAAGTGGGTGGTTGGCTGATCTTTTATTCATTAGTAAATGTTGAGAAATTCGTTGGCAGAGCCGACGTACTGGCTATCTATTATCCTCAGCTCCAGGAGGTGCATGTTCATGATTGGCACGTCCTCATAATTTCATCTTGAGATCCTTGCAGGTTGATCCATGAACCATGGCTGCAACTCCATCAGTCTATATTAATATCCACCTGGGCAGGAGGACATCTTACCGTCTTGTCTTACACACTGCGAGCATGTGCTGATGCATTGTTTCACCTACTATAAATACATTTACAACTCGGATATATAGTACCACAATAATTCACTTACATGTGCATAAGTTTCACTACTACAACTACACTACGCTTAAGTTCAACCAAACATCAACTGCATCAATACAAGTACATGAATGTTCGGAAAAAGGAATCATGTGAGCCAAGTAGCGTTTGTATAGAGACTGACTTTGAAAATGGAACTCCGCCGGCAGCATCCGACATACATGAAATGCTGAGTAAGCGAGTCCAAGCATCTTTGTATTGCGGTCTGATGAGCCCTTCATCTGATTTACATTTACTATGTGGTTCTCCGTCGCATCACTTTCATTTTCTCATTTTCAGTTGCAGATATGATACACCACATTGCATGATTCAGGTATACAGAAATAAGCTGTACTTCTAAAAGTCGTAAGTAAAGAACGAATATTCAGGCCACCAACCAATGTCTACAAATATTTTTGAGAAACATCAGTGGGTTAGATCATGCTACAGAGTGCTATGGAGACTCTGGAATGATGTGTAATGAATTACATTTCCCTGATGAATACTTCTTCACCCCTTCCGTACCATGAACTAATGCCCCAACCACTCTGTCTGGCCGTATCACAAACACCTTTGTCTGACCAGCTTCCATCAGGTAAGCTGAATAAGCATGGCCCTCCTGATCAATGAGAACGAGATCAGCAGGAGATACGACAGACATTACTGATGTCGATGATGGCAGAACGACTGCCGATCATATGACACTTTTGTTGTATGTCTCCAGTGCACCCAATATCAGGGTGGCATCAGCGAGACCCAGCGCAAATACAAGGATTGTGTGGTACCAGGGTCTGTACAAACTAAAAAGTGTAGTTGTGCCAGGCTCTGTGCGCCCCACCTGCAGCATATTGGGTGCATCAGGCACCCTGTCCCCGGCCTCCAGATGCCCCTCGTCAAGCACTCCGTATGTGTTGATTGGTTTTGTGACTGAAGTCACAAATTCATCGAGTACGATGGTGCTGAATCGGCAGTTGATGCCGAGCATGAACAGGATGGAATTTTGTTCGATCTGCGGCTCTTTAGATGCCATCGTCTTGTTGAGAATCGAGGTGGTCACACCGAGCATCTCAGAGATCACAGGCAGACGCTCAGCACTGTATGTCTCGAGAAGAGATTTGTTGGCAAGCCCTTTCGATGAGCGCAAGCTTCCATCCTAGATTGAACTGGTGTAGTGTTACGACGGTAGTCGCGTGTGGACTGGGATAATCTAACAGCGACGATCATGACAGTGATACCTCGTGCTGAGAGTCCAAAGGTCGGCTCCTACAGACGAGTAAGAGTTGCTTATGCTCACGGAGGCGAGCAATGATAGCAGTTACAGACAGAAGGGGCTTCAAGTCCTTCAGAAGGTGCGAGTCGAATGTCGAGCAGGTAGCTTTAGCAAGACAAGGAGTTCAAGGTAAAACCCAGTAAGATCAAAGTAAGGAACATCTACTTTAATCTATCGACCTTATATAAGGCTACTCTATCATATCTAAGCTCAGCTTGAAGCTGGGTTCTAAGTGCTTATCTATCGAGTCAGAGATACCATGCATGAGGCAGGCTTCTATCTATGATAAGGACATGTGGTCGTCCTTCTATCATTACATGAGGCAATCATGAGGCTTGCCTTCTATCTTGATAACATTAATAGGTCTTCTAGACCTATGTCGTCATATCATGTAAGCGATCCAGACCGCTTATCTAATCTGGCATCTTCCAGACTTCTCTTCTAATTGTTATCTGTCATCAAGGCCTAAAGGCCCAGGTATCGTGTTGTTGCCGTGCAGGGTGGCAGAGGGCATATCTGTAGCTGGGGGCTCACGTCATGTTACTGTAACATGTAGGGCGCAGTCAGTTGCAACACACATGCTGCATCTACCCGACTCACTGCATCTTGTATGCCTGAATTGAGTCCCTGTTCATAGACAAATGAGCAAGTATTAGGAACAATCAGATCAACCATACCTGACCACCCATTGGGCTATGGACACTTGGATATGTGTTAGTGGTAGTTTACGAAGAATCATTCAAATATAGCATACTGAGCAGCATCTATGATGACATTCATGAGCATAGCAATGCACATCTTGAACAGAACCACATACTGCCTGCAACGAGCACTCGACCCTTGCTAAACTTATTCACCATCCAGATATTACTAGGCCTGGAACGAACCAGGTGAACACACATCAACAGACAGAAACACAAAACGCACTTGAAGTAGCTCATCCAAACCAGCTTGTTGAATGAAATCTCCATTGGCATTAACAACGTGATGGTCTCGAAAACGAGCTTTCGCTCTTGGTGATCTTAGTCAAATCTAGTTCATGGCCAAAGAAGAAAAATTGCCAGCCATCAGCATCAATTTCGTCTGCTGAGCGCAATGAGAGGCTGCATATAGTCAATATACATGTCTCCAAGCTCAACTGAACATACCCTTGTTCATTCCAGTTTCCAAATCAGTGCCAATACTTCAAGACTACATTAGAAGAGCTTTCCATGAGATATGTGAAAAATGGACGTACCAGTCTTTCGAGGCCAACGTCTGTCAAGCAGATATCTCCTGTCACAACCTGGGCATCATCTCTAGTCTCGCCCAAAAATGTGAGGCCAAGTTGCTTGCGCACGATGCCTGCAAAGCCACTTTCAGTCTCGTGTGTCCCAACAGATTTAGCTGCATCTCACTTTTAGTGCCATCAGCGCCAATGATCCACTTGGTATCAAAAGTCTCTGATATGCCATTCTTTGCTAGAACAACAGTGACTCCCTCATCAGACTGCTCGAACGAGCGGAGTTTGGTGCTGATCTTGACATAACAAGAGAATTTCTCTAGGTGGTGTTGCAGAATGACATCTAGGAGTTGTTGACCCATCGATCTGTGGCCGTTCTAACAAAACCGAGTCAGAATGAAGGTTTGATCAGGCGACAGTGTTGCACATGAATGGTATTGCTGGAGTAGATTCGACATGCGGGACCAGCACTACATCTTTCAGACTTTCCAATGTTCTGGGCTTGTAAAAGCGGATGAGAGGGGCTGGTTTTGCCAGACTAATGACTTCTGAAATGCCCAGGAAGTTGTAGAGTTCGTGGGAACGTGGCTAGATAGAGCATGCCTTTAGTGAGACCAGCAATGTGACAAGTGGATGTGCGACAAACCCACATTCCAGTACCACACTGTCCGATGCGAGGATGGGGGTCTTTATTGATGATGCAAACTGAGATACCATTTTGGAAGAGTGTCAACGCTGCTACCAGACCCACTGGCCCAGCGTCAATCTAACAAGGAATTCAGCTGAGATGTAAACATGTGTCATAGGTCGCCACTTACAACTAGTACGGGGATGAGCAGTATTCATGGATAACACTAACACTGACAGGAGGATTAGTTGGTTCGAAATCCAACGATTTGGAAGAGAGGCAGGTAGCTATAACTTCATGGAGACTGGGCCGATCCAAAGATGGTGCTAACTTAGCTGCACCAAGTTGGCCCGAAGCCGCGTTGTTGACACCATGGTATCACATAATTTGTCCGATATGTCTCACTGCAGAAGGGGCACGTGCTGGGGTGTTTGAGAGAAATACAGACATTCTAAATATGAAGCTAATTCTTCACTGTAGAGACGAATCAGATGACATGGGCCTCACAGATGATGGATTCGAATCACTACCACACATTCATTCTGACTCATCATCAACTGTACAGTTTTATAACCAAATATGTTCCCATGCATCAGCGTATAGGTGCCTGGATGTTTGGATCCGACGAAACCCTCTTCCTACCAAAAGTGGGAGTTGGGGATCGAAATATATATAATTAGAGGACTGGGAAGGTGCACCAGAGAGCTTCGTGTGTCAGGAACAAAGGTACATACTGTGCTAATACCAATGTGCGTTGTCAGCAAGCCAAATTAGATAAGGGATGACACACACTGATTGAAGTGCAGCTTACAGAAGAAACTGAGGGCATACCTCTGAGTGAAGGGACAAAACATGCTATTTGTCGCCATCATACTCTGGATACTGTGTTAGACTCTACAAGAACTGGAGGATATCAGGTCACCTACTCTACCATGATACCGAAAACGATCATAATGTGGTCTCCATCCTCGAGAGTAATAGAGGCTGACGGATTGCAGGCATGTCGTCCTCTCTCTGTTGTTCTACCATAAGGTTCTTAAACTTGTTATTAAATAGTTCGAGTCTGGGAACGTATGCTATATCGGCCTAGAAGGCTAGTGAGCTGAGCTTCATGTCCAAATTTAGTTCATACCATGTTATCTGGTGTATATGGGCCCACTCTGAATTCATAAGCATCACGAGAAATCTTTTTGTTGTTCACGACTAGCAGTTGCTCCTTGCGACAGACCCTGTAGTTTTTTCCAGCCTTAAGCACTTTAGTCTCTGTAATTGCAGGTGAGTGTCGAATAGAAGAAAAGAATAGTGGTAGAGACGGACCAGTATAGTTGTCATATCCCCCTGTTCAATGCTATCGAGTGGACCGGTGATGAGCCACATGATAGTCTGTTAGAACTAATGAGTCAATCATTATTGTTATAAGAACGATAAAGTGCTGGCATGAATGAGATACTGCAGGAACTGGGTGAAGTATAATAGAGAGAGTTGTTGCACAAGGGGTCAAACACGCAAGGTATGGTATGCCATACTATTTGCCACTGTAGCTACAAAATGTTCAGTGATATTTGCGGGTAGTTGGTGATGCCCAGTGAAAATCGACAAGAATGAGGTAGATAGGTAGCAATAGACGTCTAAGTACAGATTGAGATAGATAGAAATCTAAGAAATTCGAGATGAGAAATTTGCAAAATGAGAAATTAAAATGCAAAGTGCAAAGTTCTCAAACATGCGTTTCATTTTGCAACATATGCTATGCAAATTACAATCAAATTTTGCATATTTGGAAACTTTGATTGCAATTCGTGCATGCTTAGATCAGATTGCATCGACATTCGAAATCGCTAAGTCCGAATCTGCTTAGTATGGACTCCATCCAGGCTGGCGCACACAGATTAGATGACGGCACCACTATCTATGTCTGCGACTGTGATGCCTGTCTTCATAAGACAGGAGGACGGAATACACAGGTATCGCGAGCTACTTACTTTAGACACAAGCCCATCAGACTCGCCGCATCAATTCTTCTTCCTCCGATCGCTCTTAGCATTGCGCCAGATCTCCCATCACCAGATCTTCGACACACCCCTCCACCAGCTGCATCCTCATCCAGCAAGAGGCCACAGGAAGATCTCGATGGTGGGGGACCTAGAAATCAGAAAAAGGGACGTTCTGACAGCCCAGAACTAGTGCATACATCTGAGGTAAGTCCGATTGTTTTATTCCAGAGGCTCACTCACATATTTCTAAACAGCCTGACACCCACCCTGATGAAGGTACGAGTCCTTCTACTTGATCATGATCGAGAATTAAATATTATCTAGATTTTTATCAGTATGATGGCCTCGAGTATGACACCATACCTGAGGCGCTTCCTGAAGAGGAGCTTCCTGACGATCGGCTTCCTGATGAGGCCCTTCTAGAAGAGGATCAAAATTCTGACCAACCTCGCGGTTCTCAAGGTGCCGCACAGCCAGACCAACAACCTCCGGTGGCACCTATTGATCATATTGACGATCTTGATCAAAACGGAGAAGAGGGGAACGGAGAAGAGGGGAACGGATCAGAGGGGAATGGGGCAGAAACACGAATGATGGGCTGGACTGATGAAGACTTAGACGGACTTCACTGCATGGCGTGTCTTCAGGATGCTCAATACGCCATGGCTTTTATCACTGCCCTTCGAAAAGCTTCTCTGGACGACCCTTTTGCCTGTCTACCTCCTGATGCGCTCGATCGACTTCGAAACCTACCACGTGCACTCCCCGACGTCACAGATCCCGATCTCTTAATGTCCCTTAAGCTTTTTTTTGCCGACACGACGATCAAGGCATACGACCTCATTCGCGCAGCCATTTCCGAACGACACCCCGATGACGACATGTACAGCCACTACCGTGTCAAGCAGCTCTGCACTGAACTCGGTGGGGTTGTACCCCTTGTGCATGATATGTGTATCAACACGTGCTTGGCCTTTACAGGCCCCTTCGTCGATCTTGATCAATGCCCAAGGTGCGGGGAAGATTGTTGGGATCAGAAGAGAAGCACCCCGCAAAAGAAGGTTGCTCGACAGAAATTCGACACATATCCTATTGGTCCCCAATTACAGGCTCTATGGCGGCATCCTGATCACACCGAAAAGATGCGCTGGCGTGAGCAGCGCACACAGGAAATTTTGGAGGCGTTAGGCATGACAGATGGGATTCCCGACGTCTATGAAGATGTCCTTCATGGGAAGCAGTATCTAGACGCCTGCCAATCGGGGAAAATTAAAGAAGGTGATCCCGTACTCATGTTCTCAATCGATGGGGCCCAACTGTATGAATCCAAGCAGTCAGACTGCTGGATCTATATCTGGGTCCTGTTTGATCACTCCCCGGATAAACACTATAAAAAGAAGTACGTCCTCCCTGGCGGCATAATTCCTGGCCCCAAAAAACCTAAAAACCTTGACTCGTTCATATTCCCCGGACTCCATCACTTATGCGCGATCCAGGCCGAGGGTCTTCCAATCTGGGATGGTGCACTTCACAGATTATTCACCTCCAATCCTTTCCTTTTTGTCGCAACTGCAGATGGGCCTGGAATGGCATTTCTCACCGGTCTCGTCGGACATCACGGCAAAATGAGCTGCAGGCTCTACTGTGGGCTTCCTGGTCGACATAAACTAGGTGCCCCCACTTACTATCCTGTACTTCACCAGCCGATCGGTAACCACGATCACCCCGATATTCTCATCCATCAATTACCCCCCGCCGGATCATTCGATTACGAGGCAAATCTCCATCGCATTGTCTCCTGCAGAAACACTGCAGAATATGAATTCGCGCGCCTGGAAACAGGCATCACAAAGCCTAGCATCTTCTGCGGATTTCATTCTGATCGCATTCTCCCAGTGCCACACTCATTCGGTTCAGACATTATGCATGTAGCTGCCATCAACGCTGGAGATCTACTGATACCACTCTGGAGAGGGACATTTAGAGCCGACCCAACGGATGATAAAGCCACATGGCGCTGGGCTGTACTCGTTAAGGAAACTTGGAGGAAGCATGGATCGAGTATTGCTGACGCGACACCATACTTGCCCGGATCATTTGATCGCCCCCCTCGAAATCCCGCTGAAAAAATTCATAGCGGTTACAAGGCCTGGGAGTGGCTTCTGTATCTCTATGGAATGGGGCCAGCGACACTCTATGGAATCCTTCCAGAACCCTACTGGTCCAATTTTTGTCACCTTGCTCGAGGTTTGCGCCTCATGCAACAATATCATATTTCCCGTTCCGAACTTCTTGATGGCCATCAGCACCTTCTGTACTTCGCCGACGAATTCGAAGAAATCTATTACCAGCGCCGCAACGATCGGCTTCATTTCATTCACCCATGGATTCATTCCCTCACTCATATCGGCCCTGAGACAGTCAACAAAGGCCCTCCCATCTGTTCTTCTCAATGGACTATGGAGAGGACAATCAGTAATCTCGGCCAAGAAATCCGCCTGCATAACTCGTCTGCCTACGCCAACCTTTCTCAATGTGCCATCCGATGCTGCCAGATCAATGCCCTCAAGGCCATCATTCCCACGATCGAACCATCAACAAACGCACTTCCTAAAGGATCCTTCGATCTCGGCGAAGGCTATATTTTACTCCGTCGACGAGAAAGAACTGCACACATGGTCCGGCCTTGCGAAGCTCAAGCTATAGTTAGATTCCTGGCCAATGACAGTGGCATCGAGATTCCTTCTGCACCTCCAATTACCAAGTGGGCACGTCTTCGCCTTCCCAATGGCCAGGTTGCAAGGTCGGCTTGGAAGGAAAACGCCATGACAAAACAGCCAAGGATGGCATGCAATGTTAAGGTATGTTTATTGCATCTACATAGTTCAGCAAACTTATTTTTTACAGTTACACCTCGACGGACAGACAGCAATCGGCGAAGTACATTACTACTTCAACATGACTATACATGATCGTCGCAGGACCTTTGCCATGGTCTCGGTATACAGCGATCCACATCAAGATCTTCTTCATTGTTCCTTTCACACCGTATTCGCATGTCACCACCGCGGGGACAATTCATTGCGACTGATCGAAGTTTGTGCCATTCAATCCGTTGTGGCTATGGTCCCGCATCAGTTTCCAGGTATCAACGGTATACTTTTCTATCTTATAGAGCGACCGGGTTTGGATATCATCACGATGAGTGGTATCAATGAGGAGGACATACCTGACGAGGATTAAGGTGAGTATTCTACTAGTATTTGACAGCATTAACTGACTACATCCCAAGACTAGAAGCTGACAAGGGAAGCTGATCGCATCATTGATCGCATTGATTGCATTGATTGCATCATTTTGAACATCGTTTGTATAACTTTCACGCATTTTTGAGTCGCTCATCTGTACAATGCATTCTAGTATACAAAAATACAATTCATTACTCTATTCTAATGAAGGTCCTTTAAGTCTTGTTTGATTTGACGCACTGTAAGAAAGCTGTTGTCGGCATGCGCACGATCATACCATTTGGCGTCTTCTTCTCGTGAAACATACTTCCAATAACAGGAATCTGGACCAGGGGGACTCGGAGTGTCGAAGAAGCTTTTCTTCTTGATCGGGGTCTTGATCGGTAAGTCTTCGACATCACTCTCCGGCTCAGTGACACTGCTGGGATCGTTTTTGGGAAGACTCTTGATCGAGGGCTGGGGTAAGGGCTGGGGTAAGTCTTCGACATCACTCTCCGGCTTGGTGACACTGCTTGGCTCGTTTTTAGGAAGATTCTTGATCGAGGGCTGGGGTAATTCTTCGATGTCACTCTCAGGCTCAGTGACACTGCTCGGCTCGTATTTTGGTGGGGGAGGGATTGGTGTTGTTTTCGCCAAAACAGATGGCACTTCTGGCTCGCTTTCTGACTCCATGACAGACTCCGTGGTGGATGTAGCTACACTGAAATTAATGAAGTCAAATGCACAAACTTACATTAAAAAACTTAAAACTCACTGTGTCACTGGTGGTAAGTCCATAAATGATACCAGACGTGCCCGAATCCTGAGAGCATGAGAAGAAGGCCAGCATGCAGGATTGGCAACCAAGTCGTCTGACAAAGTCATAACAGGTGTGCTCGAGCGGGTGTCGTTGGAATCAAGACTTAATATAATCGTTCGGTCAGATCCAGATCCCGAAGCAAAGAAGATCCAAAGCAGAGAACTTGATACTCACCTGGTATCAGCCTGGTAACCGTTATCAAGGTCATCAAGATCTGGATCCAATGATAGATCCAGAAAGTCCTGGACGGCTGATGGCAATGGCATAATGTGTTTGGACGATATACTATGGACTCGGTGAGTTGCCTTTCTTGACTTGAATTCAACCAAACACATACCTATACCATCATGTCCATCAACGACATTTCGGACATGACAGCGATAACCCCTGCTGGATATGCAGAGTTGATCAAAACTCATCTTCCCCCACTATCATTTCCCCCGTCTTGTGATCCGAGCGGTTCCCATCAATACTATTTCATACATGGCGACGCCCCCGATCCAAATCATAATGTGAGTTCTTGTCTGATCATGATCGGAGACATGAAACACTTACTTGATATCAGTCTCTTCTATCACAAAGTTCCAGCCTGCGATCTCTGCTCGATGATCAAGACCCCGCCGTGCCTGCTGATAGTGACAATCTAGTTGTCGAACTCAAATGCCAACTTATGGAACTACAACATACAGTAGTGAGTCTCCGAGCAGATTTACTTAGGGTTACGAGTGAGAAAACATCATTACTCTCAACCTGCCAAGCATTACAGTAAGTGCCATATCATTTTCACGCGCATATATTCACTCAAATGCGCATATATGCTTGTACAGGAACATTATTGTGAATATACGAAGCTCTGCAAGCTCTGTCGCATCGAGCTCATCAGCCTCACCCCCTTCCGACACATCAAATACCACAGATGAACGCAAGCCATCTTGCCTACTGGACGGAATGATTGAAGAGGAGTGCGATCGCGAACTTGATCCGGCAGACTATCGATCGGTGAACTCCTGGACGAAAAAGGATTGGCAGGAACACTTCCCAATGAGCTCGTCCGCTGTACCTGGATCTTCTTCGAAGAAATCAGCACGTGGTTCCAAGCGTATGGCGCAAGGTATCAATGTATCTTGTACTTACCTCCAGGACGAGAATGGCATACCTGTGTCAGCTCAGCGCGCAAAGGTAATTCGGACAACAATGTTGTCATGCTTCCAGCAGCTACATACCCAAGGATTTGCACCAGAATCGATCGGGCAAGCTTCACTCGACGTCATCAAGTGGCTGGTTCACACGTTGCGGAAGGAATACCTGGAGCTTCGTTTGTGCGCCGACAACTGGAAAACCACGAGGCTCATGATCGATAACTATTCCCAATGGTACAACTACCACATCAAGAAAAAGGGTGGCAAGCGTGTGAAGGCCGAGTCTGAAGACATGGGCCTAGAGGAAGAGACTGCCTCCAAAACGACCCCGATCATTAAAAAAAGAAGATTGTCTGACTCTGACGAGAACCACACCGCAAAGCGCCCACACGTAGATTCGTCATCAGAGGATATAGTAAGTTTTCATCTTCTTTGCTTGTCGCTACTGACATGATCGGTCTATAGCTAGCATCACCCCCTTCAATATCAACCGAAGAAGTAAGTTTTAATATTATTGTTTTATACTACTGACATAGTTGGTGTACAGTTAGTGTCACCCCCTTCGCCATCACACGATGGCACTACACCCAACCGTGAGCCAACCCCTCCACCACGAATGGACAAAGGCAAAGAGAAGGAAGTTGTTGCTGTCGAGGTGAGTCTCTCATTGTAGTACATGTTGTACCTGGCACTAATTTCACGTGTCTGATCTTACAGGTCAAAAACCCTCTGTAAGTCATCAATTCTATTGATGCGCTACACTGATGCGATCAATTCATTTAGCTCTAATCTTGTCCTCAAACCTCGACCCACACCTGTTTCACAGAAACCCCCTTCACCTTCTATTGTTTCCTCAAGTTCAGGATCCAACCCTGCTGTAGTGCCGCCCTCCACCAACATCACGCCAATCTCCAGGCCAGAGATCTCATCGAGTTCCGATTCAGCTTCCCTTGCTGTAAAAATGGAACTTGTTGGAGTGACCCACGCCGAACAAACGAAACCCACGATCAACTCGAAGCCTGATGCCATCAAGAAGCGACAGCCAAGTACCAAGCCGATGCGTGTGAGCCCCAAGATCACGGCGCGGTGCGTTCTATATATTATTTTCATAGCTAGATTAACTCTATCATTCTAGGAATCTTTGCGCCCTCGAGTGGCAATCGAACGGCAATCAAAAGGAACCAGCGAGCATCTTCGCGACTTACTGGAATGGATTGTCTACTGCCGACAAAGAGGTGCGTCATTTTTTTCTTATATTAACATCTATTTAATTCTGTCTACAATTGTTCTAGTTATACAAGCGCAAAGTATCTGTTCAGGTGAGTTCTGTTGCCTGCATTCTATCACATGTACTGACCAAGTGTCCTATAGGTGGCTTCCTCAGGACTGGTTCAAGTGGACGACAACCACGATGACTAGAGGGCATATGGCGGGATGGCGGGATGGCGGGTGGGATAGCGGACGAGGCGCAGCGAGCAGCGATACCCTACTCACCTAATGATAGCGATACCTATAGATAATGTCATTTGCTCTCGTTAGATTTGTTTTTGGATCAAATCGAGTGATATTTCGTATGTAAATGTGTATTGGTAGGTCTAAACAGATCGAGAATCGTATCTAAACATCTAAATTTTTTCTCGATGTCTTTCTTTTTCCATCTCGAAAAGTCTCATTTGTCTAAATACATTGATAGATTTCATGGGCCTTTATTTTTTTAGATATCTATCTACATATATCTACCTCATTCTTGTCGATTTTCACTGGGGGTGATGTACGATGCGAAATATAAATACCCTAGCATGCTCACAATGATTTAGTAACATGCTGTCGGTATTGCCCAATGCCAATCAAACTCAAAAATGGTAACTTTAAGTGGAAATGGTATGGGTAGTAGTATGGACTGAGTAGGACTGCAGAGATATCTCGAAAAAAAGTATAGTACAATAGTGCACAATGCTAAGTCTATCTGTTTTGTTCAAGTTCAACAAGACAAACTTCCTCAAAACACAATGTGAACATTAAAGCAGTCCCACCCATAAGGGTCAGCTCCACAGTCCATGATTTGACGTTACACTTTGCCACAGGAAAAACGAGTCCACGATACTGCCTGTTCAGAACAAGGCAGAGTTGGTTCTTTCGGTGCGGAGGTGCTGGGGTGAGATCCTTGGCAGGAATATGATAGTGTTTTAGGGCAGCTCCTGCACTGTTGGATGTGCAGTATGCTGCAACAGAACCCTCGGGTGTGGGACCATTCGGACCGCAGAAAGGGTCAGGGCATGCCGTCGACATGAATCGGTTAATTAGGCGGCCTCCCATGACATTCGGCGAGACTTTCAGCAATACGTGATATTCCGATAGCATTGAAGAGAACTCCTTATTCATCAACCAGGGTAGTGGACCTAAATTCAATGAGTTCCATGTTGTGATGCCTTCATTGAGGACTCACCCGTGCCTGTAAGTTTCTCCGCTTCAGCCTCAATGCGATCATGGATGTCATCGAGATTATTGGTAGTCCAGGGGTCGAATATCGATTCAGAAGTATTGACACCCGATGGATGGTTAAGCACCATATTGTTATCCTTGACGCTGGTGGACCAAGGGGACAAGACGTTGGAAGGGGGCGAAGAGGAAGAGCCCTGATCTGTGTTCAAGGTGGAGCTGGATGGAACTGATGCTTCGGGTGGGGGGGTGACACTTCATTGTGGCGTCACGAACAATTTTTTCCGCATTTTGCAGAAAGAAATTAAGTTGTTCCCTTCGATTATTGCACCATTCAACCTCAATGCATAACTTGACGGTGGTGAACGATTAGTTCACCATGAAAAATGCACACTGCTCACCTGGTAGCAACATCATGGTGTTTGAGTGTGACAAGCCTCTGTCCATGAACAGCGACGGTGCAGGTGTTGCTCATAACACTGTACAGAGTGGCTCGGTAGCCCTTGAGATCGCCCCCGATAATAAATACTTCGCTCCCGATTACACCCTTGAACTCATCCAGGCTTTTTTTGTGCAACATCATTGTGAATCTGATGGGAACTTCGATCTGTCATGAGTTAGAGATGCACCAGTTGAATTGAATTGGACTTACGAGTGCGTAATCACTAGAAGACTGTATCCTCATGTGAGCTGTTGGAAAGTCGACGCTGTGCATGAAGCCCATGGTCCGATACTTGGGTCCATGAACGACGCTCACAAAGTCTCCAGGCTTTACATCATAAGCCCTGTCCTTGGTGTATTTAATTGTTGGGGCAAGGTGTGTCCGCCGAACCATTGCCGTGGGAACTTGAGTTGGCTGCGGTCCTTCCATGTCATCCGCATTCACGTCAAGGCCCGCATCCCACAAAAACAGGGTGGTACTTCCTGCGGGAAACTATTCCACAATACCAGATTTCCCCATGAATTCTCCTTCGAATACTTCTACATAATCCCCAACTTCAATAGGGTCATGTTCAGGGGGAGGCTCCACAACTTGAAGTAGTGGCAGTGCCAGCTGTGCTTGCAGCATGTGTCTCAAAGGCCGATGATCCAGGTAGTACTTCAATACTTGGATCTACAGGCTGTGTTAGATACTTAAGTAGGAATTTGTACAACATACCTCTTCCTTTGTATCCTGTTGACAAACATCAAACATCTCATCAGACATTCCAATGATATGCCCTTCCAACCCTAAGTATGAAACCACTACAACTCTAACTGCGTCACTGACCCAAAACACACGCTCTACGTCCTGGACTTGAAGGTCTATTTCTCTCTGTAATCCATCGGTGTTAATTTTCAACCACACGGAATCAAATATATGATCTATTGAGATGACTTTGCCGATCTCTGAATGAACCTCTCCTGCAAGAACCCTGGCCGCATCACCTTCGCACAAAAACTGCATAGAAAACATAAGTTCCGTGTTCTTGATGAAGCGAGTGTCCCATCTGGATTGGAGATGCAATCGAATATTGTCAGGGTGAGGGATGATGGCGAGCTCTAGAAGATAGCGGTGAAACTTTTTCAGTAGCAGTCCCATGTAATACTGCTCTCCTTTGTACGTCCATCCGACAACTTTCCCATCACGAATGATGTCAGTGGTGAACTTGCCAATCGGAAGGCGGGCTAGGTCAAACAGCGCTACAGACCCCTGTGGCATGGGATAGGGGAAATCCCATGGAGGGATTAATACCTTCACGAAATTGTTGTTTTCCTCAGACTCCTCGAAGATGCAACCTATGGCGCCGTTGTATTTGTTGCACATGCTTGTCTTAATTTTGACCCATGCGGGGCTGGGAAAGGTCAATCGCACATGTTTGACTGCTTCATGCTCTGCATCCGAGATGTAAAGATACTCTTTCACCAAGGGATGAAGTGAGGTTGGAAGGGACAATGAGATGGTTCTGGGACTATCTGAAACCACATAGAGCTGGCCTTGTCCCCAAAGCAACACAGTGATGGGGAACCCTTTTCTCCGAAGGTGTGCAGCGATGTATTGGGTAGATGTTCCTGAAATGCAATGTGTGACACGCGACTGGGAGCGAAGATAAGGACCTACTATAGACAAGTAACAGATACATCCTGCTTTGAATGGTCTCGGGGGACTAAGCAGCTGTCTGATGGAGACATCTGTCTGGTGAACTGAACACGTTCAATTCGTACTTGTCCGTGATATTGTTGATAGCTGCAGCCAAAGTATGTTTGGCAGCCGGTCCTGGCAAGCAGGTAACATTCAGCAACCACGTAGAGGGGCCACTATCACCCTCTTCCTCGGCATCACGAAGGGAATCATACTCATCCCCGTCAGAACCTTCTTCTGCTTCAGCGTCGATGTAAGGATTCTACAACTGTTATTCAGACTGCTTCATTAGAACTGCATGTTTCACTCACCCTGGCAGTGGGTCATTGACGCAAGGACATATTGTTCCCTGACCACGCAGATAGGTCACTGTCACCCTCCTCCTCGTTGGCAAGTTCAGTTTCATCTGTGTTCTCATCACTATGATCCTCTGCTTCAGTGTCAATGTACGGATTCTTTGACTACAGTTATTGTTAGAATACTAAGTCAGAACTGAATGAATTTCACTTACACTGGCAGTCGCTGCCCGACTCCCTGTGTAAGTGGCAGTGAGTAACAATATTAATGGTTTCGTACAACTCACAACTCACCTCCATCACTTCTAACGTGCTTCGAGACTCATTCACCATTACTGGCACTCGGTGCTGCGCGCCGTTTGGACATTATTCAACTTCAAGAATAGGCCTGTCTATAGTCCATCTGATTAATTTTCTATATAACAATTCCAAAACATAACATGATCCTACTGATGATATTTGTGTTGAAGTCTACTCAAATTAAGCTATCTGTTCTAAGCTTCAGGTATTGTATGGCATCGAGGTGGAAAGAAAACTTGCAATGATGTTCATGATTAGTATTTATAGTGAATGACTAATGCCGAACACTTACTACAATTAATCGAAAACTGTGAATTATGGTTGGACATCAATTGCCAGACTCATTGAATGCGCAACTGTGTCCTGTGATTGTACACTTAGCAATTTATTTTCCATGCTCATTAGTGTTCCGCTATAGTACAATAGGAAGTAATTCCAAACTTTACTAGGTAGGCGTAAATTTAAGTGTATATTGCTTACTAGTAGACTATAGTAGGAGGTCACATAGTAATCGGTAGTAAACAGTACTAGTACCATTATGCACCGTGTGGTGGACCTGCCCAGTAGCTTGTTGAAGGTCTTGGCGATTCAAGGTAATACTACTTCTAGAGTGCCAATGACGGTGTCTTCTTAGATAGATGATCTATAGATAAACACCTATAAAAACAAATATCTCCACGGTCAGCGATTCAGACAAATACCAATGGCTGATAACGTGGTCGTTCGTGGGTGGCTGTTTACACTTCCCAAGCTATGTCAGACCACAGTACTTCTGTAAGGTCAGCAACAATGCAGTCAATCCAACAAAAATGAAACTGAAATGAAATCACTCCAACGGTATGGCAGTGATTGAAAGACGAAAGAAAACTAGTCAACCCAACGGTATGGTGATGACAAAAAGAAACAAAGAAAAAAAGACACCTCTTCAAACCTTCCTTCAACAACAATGCCTTGTAACAATCGTATCTCAAAAGAGTTGTGTGGAATTACAGCAATCAACCCCCTCAGCACAAACAGGTAGAATCAAAGGTCAAGACTAATCAATGCTCAGTAGAACTCTTAGCTCACTGTTGAACCTGCTGCCAAGAAACTCACGATGAGTATTAAACAGAATCAGGAATGGACGTCCTTGGTTTCAGTACCAAGTCCCCTATTCAACAACTAAAGTCTAGCAGACAAGGAAGATCCTGGCTCAGTATCACTACTCAGATGAGTGAGGTCAAGTGTTACTGTCAATCCCTAAAGTCTCCCCACTAAACTATTCGGAGTCTAGATGGACGAAAGAGACAACACAAAAGCTTCTGAAAATATGAATGAAAGCTTAGCACTGAAACTTGAAAGAGAAGAAAGAGAGAGGATCACAGAGAGAGAGAAAAGAGAGAAAGAGCGAAAGAACAAAAAAAAACAAAAACAAAAACAAAACAAAAACTAAAACAAAAGAGTGACAGAAAAGAAAGACAAAGAAAGAAAGAGAGAGAAAAGAGAAAAAGAGAAAGAAGAAAACTAGAAAATCAAAGAGGAAAAAAATAAAAAAAAGTTCTGTCAGTCGTTGAGCACAGTGAGCTCAAGGTCTTGGTCATCGTTGGTGGTGATGAGCTAAGGGTGTTGCTGGATGCTGATGCTGATGCTGATGAGCTTAGGGGCTTGCTGGTTACTGAAAGTTGCTGGCTGACTACTGGTTACAATGACTTTGCTGAAGGTACTTGACAGCCCTGGTCACTGTTGTTGACAATGATCACACTTCACACACAATTTTATTCTGAAAGTGGGGCTAAAAAGCTCTCTTCTTTGGGCAAAAATTTGGGTCTTATATACAAAAAAAAGGGTGGCTGTGCTATGTTTTCCCGCCATCTATGAGGGGTGAGCTTAGTCAGTGGTACCAAAAATCATTTTGCAGGGGTTGCTTATGTTGCACCAAATGAGACCATAATTAGTCAGCATTAGTCAGCATGCTTGGGCTGAGTGTTCTGTCATCACTTGATTTGGATCAAAAATCACCTGACTTAAGATCATGTGATTTAGCATCATGTGACTGAAGGGTCATGTGACAGGCTGATTGTGCACTGCAAGAGAAATATTCATGATCATTGGTGTTCCGTTCTGATGTCACTTTGTTGAATGAGAAAATGACGCGAGGCAAGTATTTAGGGTTTTGAGGAAGTTTTCCCAGGGTAACCCATGCGAGAACTATTTTTCACAGTCACCTGGCATGTGTGGGATTCAGCCTGAGTCATTGTTGAGGATGACTAAGCAAAATTCATCGCAGAATTAAATATACAAAAATATTCAGCCTGTCCGAGTTCCATTGAAAAGATGAAATGAAATATTTGTCTGAGCTGCATTCTGGCTTTAGAATAGAGGGAAATGGTTTTGTAGTGATTTCTAGGGTATTAGGCTCATGGGAGAGCATTAGTCATCCATGCACCGAACCAGTTTGGTGCAGGTCAACGATGGCGGCGGTTCTAGGCCAAATTGTGTGGTGGAAGTCGAAAAGAAATCTATTTTGGGAGAGGATACAGTTGATATAGTGAATGACTAATGCAAAGTTTAGACCCAGCTGGCAACACCCAAGTGCGCAGTCTCGACTGCACACTCGGGTGTTGCCAGCTGGGTCTGAACTTCATTCACTATATCAGTACGCTCTTGAATCAAACATGTTCTCTTTTCCACTTTTACCTTAGCATTATCGACAGCTTAGTATACTTATGTCATGTCATGGTGTTTAGTATTAAATATTAGATACTCAACATATTGAAAATATACTACTTGACCAAAGTTGGACTTCAGAATAGGCTAATAGGATCGCATTTGTTAAGGCTCGCACTACTATAGTATCAACTCGGAAATGATATATAGTATAGTTGAACCTCCTTTCAATGAGGACACTACTAGTACTAGCAGTGACTACTACAGTTCGGAGTCTGGGTCTTGAACTTGGAGTCATTGTAAGTCTAAATTGAAGTCGTTCGCTATCTTTGATCATCTAATAGCACCCGCAGACCGGAATATACTCTCCCTTGGATTGATTGATAGAAAATACAGTAAGCGTGGTTATTTTCTGTAATGCTTGATCATCGTTACTAGATTGCTGACATCTATGTCTTGAGTCAGTCTGAAGTAAGTGCACAAGTTTCAGTACTGGATTTCATTCTGAACAGCTCAAAAATTCTCTAGTGCAACATCACTGCCAACTTGGATGCAAAGTTCTTGTAGGGCATCCGAGAGGGGGCAGTCCTGAGCCACACATCAAAGTATGTAACATGTTATGATATCTATGGCACTCAAATGGCACTTTTTTTTTCTTTACGACATTGATGGCGCTCAGTCGATGAGGCTGTTTTTCACAGTGTGCCTGTTGGGCTTCACACATATAAAGCATCTTATTTAATGCTAATTCAGTAGAACCCAACTTAATTGGTATGAGTGGCGATGAGAATCATCCTCCTCCTAGCGGTCCTTCGTGCAAATGTGGTGGTTCAGCACTTCATATGGGGCCCCAAAAAAAGGCATAAGCGAACTTTTAGCCTCAAATGCTAGTCCTACCTGACTTGGAGTCTTGACCAGGACCTCATCAAATCCCCTCGTTCTCCATGAACAACATTTTGGTCGGATGGTCTTTGCGTTATGCAATTACCCAGCTCTTCTGACTTCGGGGATCCTGTGACTTTAAGAATTACAGGATTCTCCCCTAGAGGATTTTCCAGTGGAGTGAGTACAATTACAATAATTAAATGTCCTCAGCACTGATATTACTATCGACACTAGTGTTCGACAGGAACACAGAGTATTTATGGAACTAGTAGATTCCTACCCTGGTCTTCTGGATCACCTGACGAATGACGAGGAGGAGGATATTATATACGTAGGAGAATTGGTAAGCCTTCAATACTGAAAGGTCATTACTATGCTCACCGTCTTTCAGCTAGGTAAAGGAGTGTCTGGTGCGAGAGGTGATGACACTAAGACCCTCAAATCTGCCGTGCTCAAATGGCTTGTTCCCAGGGGACAGCCGGTCATACTGCCTCTATCTCAAAACATTAAGTCTGACCGTGGGTTTAACCATGAAGTAACCGGTGCTTTGCTCTGCCCCGCAGGCCTCAATTGGTCCAATTCAGAGTGAGTACTATCATTCCCACCAACCAGTAACTAACCGTCATCATGCTCTTCAGTACTAAACAGAGTCTCAAGAGCGGTGAAACCACAGTGCGTGGCGACCAGTGGCCCATGTTTTTGTATGCTGGATATGCATATGATCCTGAAGATCCCTGGAAAGGTCTGTTGAGGAGCGAAATACTTGTCTTTGTAAGCTTATCATATTGCCGGTACATTCTCAATAAAAGCAATTTCTTTCATAGGGCTTCAAACATGTCTTCACGTCTCCAAGCTCGGTAGAGAAGGAGCCAAAAGCCACATGCTCCGGTAATGCTTATCTGCACGGTATGAAGTCGGTGACTAAAGGATCTCTTGCCTATATTGCCACACAGGTGCGCAGCAAAATCAGTGACCCATCGCTCCTTACTATTTTTTCCTTTCCTGGCAGGTTCAGTTTTTGTTATGCTCGTCATCCGTATTTTCCCATACTGACACAGTGATGGACTCAGAAAATTTTTATCATAGCATTCTTGACCTATTGGAAGATCCTGATGAAAGCCAGGAAGTAGTCGAGCTGATGACATGGTGGACGTGGTTCATAATGATTTCCTCACCTTAATATCTAAGTTGACGCCTTCCACAGTCAGGTTTTTCCTAATTCTTCATCTGCACAGCGCAGTATCAGCAAAAACAGTGCTGTCGAAGATTCGGGAAAAATGTGCTGCCCTACAAGCCATTGCCAGTGCTAGCATCAATTAGCTCATTGTTTTTAGTTGTTTTTCATAATCACGCTATCTGTAAAGCCTGTGACCCCTAATATAATCGATGAAAGTTTCATCCATAATCTATAATACAGCACCAAAAGTGTGAAAAATATGTTACATGAGGATCCCCTATCTCAAAGGCTTGTCTGAGATAATGAAGTGTCAAAATCTAACATTGTGATGCAGCAAGACAACCCAGTGTTACCCCCTGAATAATTGATGCTGATTAAAGACTTTGTCAAGATATGAACAGTTCGGTGGACATGATATGAGAATATCACCCTGCAGCACACAGTTGCTAATTGCAGCCTCTGCTATCAGAGGCTGCCTATATAAACCCAGATATGTTTGGTGTACATGATAAGGAAGTATCGCCCTACAGCACATAGTTACCAATTGCAGTCTCTGCCATCAGAGGCTGCCTATATAAACCCAGATATACTTGATGGACACGATAAGACAATATCGCATCACAGCAATCTGATGGACATGATAAGGAAGCATCGCCCAGCAGCACATAGTTACCAATTGCAGTCTCTGCCACCAGAGGCTGCCTATATAAACTCAGGTATGCTTTGTAGATATGATAAGGCAGTATCACTCTGCAACACCTAGTTGGCTATTGCAGCCTCTGCCATCCAAGGCTGCCTATATAAAGCTAGATATAGGTAGATACATTAGACAATGATACAGCAGTGTGATAGTGAATTACAACATGACATAATGGGTCTGCCAATATTATAGCTGTGGGAGATTCCGTCAACGTAGTCTGACTTTCTATTGCTTTAACATATCATCTGTAATTGTGATACTTATTTTTAATATTTTTAATTAGACAAAGCTAGCCAAACCTTTGCCATAGTCGAGTCAAAAGCCTGATGCAAGCGACACAAAATGTTACACATTGTAGCACTTGTAAAAGGCATAAATAATACTAGCTAGTTTGTATACATATGCGCAGCGAGAACCACCTATTCACTATGCTACATGGTCTAATATTTTCATTTTTATTAATAACAGTGGTCCTATGAAATAAAAATGTACTTACTACTTGGTGTCATGCTTGAATAGTAAACATTGTGATACCACCTTTCCTCCAGCACTCTGAGTGCATGCGTCCGATGTCAAGGTCGGCCAATAATAGACGCTGGTTTGCAGCTTCTGCCCAGTGATGGGAGATATGGATAAGTATTTTGTGCTGTTCCAAAAGGCAGTCAGCCAAGTGTTTTTGAACTTGACACACTTTGTGTTTGGCCTGGGCTGCCTCGAGCGTGAGGTTGGAGTCTTCTTCTTCTGCAGGCTGATCAAACAAGTAGTTGGACTCGGCTGAGTCTCGTTCCTGCAGGTATGAGTAATAAAACAACAGATAAGCGGGTACAACTCACAAAATGCATTGGTATAGGTAAGCTCTCGTCATCATCTTCCTCCTCCTTGACATAATACGATTGCAGAGGATGTGTAGGGCATGGATGTCCTTTATCAGGCCAACTTGAAAGGGATGATAAGGCTCAAGGAGTTGAGGAGCCATCAGAGCCGTGAGAGTCAAAAGAAGGATCATAGGAATGGTGAGAGGGAGGATAATAGTTCATTTTAGGAGAGGAATGAGTAAATATCTCAGAATGAGAGAACATATGGATGTACACGCGCCTAGACTGAATGAAAGATGTATAGGAACTTCAGTGCACACATCATCAATGCCGACACCTACCTGTCCAAAGTGTGGGAAAGTCTTCACCAAGGACTCCAGTGTTACTCGCCATCTAAGTCAGCCTCGTACATCTTGTCACAGTTCCATTCGTGACATCATCAACATCTTGGAATTCACGGACATAGTTCCGCCACAGCGATCCCTCAATCTACCTCAGAATTTGGATACTAGTAGTGTTGGTATGGGTCAGGTATTTGGGGTTGGGGATGACTCGCAATTTGATGATCAGGCCAGGGATTCCATGGATATAAACTTAGATGGAGACCTTGCAAGAAATTCACCTCCGACCAATGAGGAATGGTATGAGGGTGCAGCCAGGTGCTATTCTCAGGACGGCGACACATTTCTAGATCTTTTTGACGCCAATGAGCATGCAGAATACAGGAAGGAGAATCTGTTCTATCCATTCACATCGAGGGAAGAGTGGGAGGTCGCCGATTTCCTCCTGTGTTCTGCCCTTAGCATGGCTGCAATCAACAATTTTTTGCAGCTCTCTATGGTATGTATCTTCCTTGTTGCTTTTCACGCTTCAATCTTGACATTACCTCGCAGATAAAACACTTACAACTATCATTCAAAAATGCCAAAGATTTGCAGAGTCGGGCTGAAATGCTGCCAAAGGGACCAAGCTGGAAATGCCAACTCATTCCCTCGCTCCATGGCATGAAGAGCCCAATTCGACTATTTTGGAGGGACCCAGTTGAGTGTTTGGAGAGTCTCTTCAGCAATCCTCTCTTTCATGACAAACTTGACTTTATCCCTCGTCATGTTTACAAGACTGCAGCACGCCTCTTGCATGTGTATTCAGAATGGTTGACGGGTGACGCTGCTTGGAATATTCAGATATGTGCTGTTGATGGACTCACAATGCGCACAATCTCACAAGACTGTAGGATCAACTGCCCCAAGGCGCAACAATCCTTGGCACTGTGCTTTCGTCTGACAAGACCAATGTCACGACGATGACAGGTGCCAGGGTCACACACCCGCTTGTGTTAGGCCTTGCAAATATTCACATGCGCACTTGTACGAAGCTCTTGTCCAAGGCCTTCATGCTCGTGGCTCTCCTCCCTATCCCACAGTACTTACACCCTAATCAATAAATGCGGGGTATGCTCGAGGATTGTCTCATCCACGAATGTCTCTCAATTGTTTTGCAGCCCTTGATGAAAGCCGCCGAACTTGGAATTATGATGTCTGACCCAGTGGGAAACATCCGCCACTGTTTTACCCCCCTTGCTGCATACATTGTTGATACTCCCGAGGCATGTATGCTCACATGTGTTCATGGTAAAACTTCTCCATTCACACTGGTGTCGTACCTGCAGTTCGGGGACAACTTTCATCACCCTGCATGTACACGTGCCATCACTTTCAAGCAGCTCGCCAGTGTCAATGTCGATCCCAACGATCTTGAAGCTTTTTTTGCTGCATGCGCAGAATTACGGCTAAATGGTGTCTTTACACCTTTCTGGAAGGGCTGGTGCTTCGGTGATCCTGCAATATTCCTTACACCAGAAGCTCTGCATCACTGGCATAAGCAATTCTACAACCACAACATGCAATAGTGCCTTGTAGTTCTTGGAGCAGTGGAATTTGATTTCCAGTTCTCGATATTGCAACCCATCACAGGCTATCGCCACTTTGCCAACAGAATCTCCAAATTAAAACAGGTCACGGGTAGAGTTCACCGTGATATACAGTGTTATATCGTTGGAGTGATTGCTGGTGCAGCACCTCGTCAATTTGTGGTTGCAATTCGTGCTCTAATGGATGTCTGATACTTAGCGCAGTCTCCCTCACCTGATGACAATGTCCTGGCATCTATCGACAGATTGCTTGCTATATTTCACGATAACAAGAATGTCGTCATGACTCTAGGCACTCAGATGGGCACAAAGAGAGTCATCAATAATTGGCACATTCCCAAGCTGGAGCTCATGCAGAGCATTACTGCTAGCGTAACCCAAGTTGGCATCCTCATCCAGTGGTCTGCAGATGCGACTGAACACACACACATCTCCAAAATCAAGGATCCAGTGCAGCGCACGAACAACAATGATTACGATCCCCAAATCTGTCGTCACTTAGATCGAGCAGAGAAGCTTCATCATTTTGCAATTGCCACAACTCTCAAGAGCCTTCCCACTGATCCTGATCCTGAAGAACTTCATGAGGATGAAGGGGATGGGGACTGGGATGAGGACGAGGACGAGGAAGAAAACAGGGCACCAATGGATCCATGGACCGCACTTTTAGAAGAACTGAATCACACACATATGAGTTCCAACTACTTCAGCAAAATCAGAATGTTGGCTACTGCAAGGCGCAATGAAATTCCTCAGGCTCACCCTCCTTGTACATTCCTTGCTGGCAGCACCACCATTCATCTCAACTGCAACCCCACCTGCACTGGCTTGAAGATTAATGAGGTCGCCGATGAATTTAACATACCAGATCTGCGGTATGCTCTCTCAGACTTCCTTCAATGCGATGCAAGGAACGGAGATGGAGTTTTTGGGGTGGGGGTCCCCAGAAGATCACTGATTGACTGCCTCTTGAATATTCCTTTCGAGCGCGTTCAAATTTGGCATACTATTCACTTGCAGCAAGTTTGTCTCCATGATCCCAGTGTCATTGTACCTGCACAAACCATGCATGCGTCTCCTGCATGTGTTGGGTGGCCAAAAGGTTGAAAGGATGTTGCCATTCTCAATGTCGATAGTGTGTATGATTGGCCTAAGTCTGGGTTAAAGGGTGAGCTCTTTAGTACTTGTATACATTTTGATTACCCTTGACACCTTTCCCCTCTTTTGAAGGTCATGCTGTCTGCAAATTGCAGCTCATCATGCGCCCAATACCTCAATGAGGCTCACATATCACATGGCATGATCAATACCTTTGTTATGTGTGCAACTTCAAGATCGGTGCGGTTGATCCCATCACTGAGATGCACACATTGACATGCGCAAAATATGCCAATGGTACTCTGGTGGGAGATGTAGTGCCTCTGATGCAGCTTCGAGCATTCGTCAACATTATCCTGAGACTGGGTACTGCAGCGGATCCTCGTCTGACTAAGTCTACTTCCGCGCATTACCATTCCTCATTCTATTTGAATAAGTACTTTGATAAGCAAATTTATGATACCCTGTACTTTGCGTCACAAGGATAGATACCAGCTGTTGGATTATTTTGTTTCTAGTGATACTACTATGACAGGCTGTTTTATCTACTCCATATGGAAACTCTGGGAACTCAGTGGCATTCGATTGATGATGCACCAAAGTGAAGGCCAGGCCCACGCTGCGGCTGCCTTGCAACTGTGCATAAGCCTGAGGGAGCGCTTGCTCAGCAAACTTGCCAACCATTCAGACAAACAGGTGAATTGTCATTGTAGGGTGCATTGGTCCACAGTACTCATTCAATACTCCATAGCGTTGACTGGTCTTGACTCTGAATTCATTAGATGCCACCATGACATCTGACTCACTTGCTCACCAAACTTCCCCAACTTCACTTGCCACTACTTCATTCGACCTTTATCTCTGTGGCCCTTCACTCAGTTCAACGGGTTTCCTGCCTGAGGGCGGTTGCACGAATGATCTCATCAAAGACCTGCTCAAATCAGAGCTCGAGGGCCACGTCATCTTTGAAGGTGACCTTAACATCAAACACAGCGCTAGCCTTTTCCACCACTTCATTCCCAAATTCTTATTGAAGACTAAGCATATCGCGCAGATCAAATACTACGGCCAAAATAACGGACTGCCAGTATCTTTCCAGGGCGCATGGAACTTCAATCAGAAAAAAAAGCCCAAAGCGAATGAAAAGAACAGCGACTCCGAGTCAGACAACTCTGACGATGAATCTCACAATAGCACAGAAGTTGCTGACACAGATACTGAGGCCTTGGATTCTCAACATTCTGGGATGATGTCTCAAGACATGGATGGCACCTGGAGCTGCGATGAATATGATGGGACTGCAGAGCCAGGATCAAAGAGGGCATGTAAGCCTTCATTGACTGAGAAAGACTTACAGTGCCTCTTCAAAGCCGTTCAGTACGCCCTGCACCGTAGATCGAACATGCGGGCCAAACTTCCCTTCCAAATATTGAATATTGAATGATACTGGTCTGCAGAGTTTGCTAACTCACCAAAAGCCTGATCTTGCTCTGTTTTATTACAAGAGTAAGGTTTTCGAGAAAGCATGGACAGACATACTTAGCTTTGTTGAGCACACATCCTCTGATTTTAGCAAGAGGCATGACCTAGGAGTGTACTGGGGGTCCACCACTAAAGCATATCTCATCATGTGAGAACAGCCATGGCGTCGCTTCGTCCTCTCATTTTTTATCTCTGCTGAACAACTTTATGCCCATTTTTGCGACCGCTCGGGCCTCATCATAACTCTTCCAACTTCCATCCAATCATCACCCGCTCATGTCACTGATGCAATCACTACTCTCTCGTTAGTGGATCTGACCCTCTTGGGTCTCGACCCCACAATCCACATGTGCATCCCTTCTTGCAAGGGTACTCACACTGACCTAGCAGAGGGGGTGATTGGTTGGGTAACCAACAATCATGGTAAAATATACTCAATTTTGGCTGTTCTATGGAAGAGCCAGGGTCTGTTTTGTCGTGGAACAGTTTGTTACCGCATTCGGGATCCTGTAGATGGGAAGGAATATACAATGAAAGATTGTTGGGTGGCTGAGGCCAAGAGATACCACGAAGTGGACATCCTTGAGAGGGTCAAGAACATCTCTAATGTGGTCCAGCTTGTAGACCATTGGGATGTCCTATTCGACGGGGAGCCTGACTGCACAGCCCACATTCAGGATAGATATGGTATCCTGCCTGAGGACAGGCCAGACAAGAGGTTTGTAAACAGGTATCACCGACGCCTTCTCTTGACCCCCTGCGGAGATCCATTATGGCATTTCAGCTCCAGAAAGGAACTGATTTGCACCTTTTGCGATTTCATGGTCAGTGAGTTCAGTTTCATGTGTTTTATTTATTGTATTATCTAACATTTTACCTGTAGCTCATGAAATGATGATCCAACAACGAGTTCTACACGGAGACCTTAGCCCAAACAATTTCATTATCCATGAAGGCATTTGGTATTTCATCGATTTTGACCATGCATCAATCATGAAGGAGGGCGAGACATTTACTATTTCATTTGGTACTGTAAGTTTGAACATGGAGTTCGCGGTTCTCATTACTGATCATTGATCGCATTATTGCAGGGAACCGTGCCATATATTTCTATGCGCATTTTGAAAACAATGTCAAAGAACGCTGACATCCTCAAGAAGTCAAAGATGAGCATCAACGCAAAGAAGAATAGCACCAACACTAACAGCATTGTGCAGCTGAAACTGGTTGAGCACAACCCCAGTGATGACCTTGAGGCACTGTTCTACATTTTTTTCGAATTCATTTCGAAGTATGGGGGTGCACATGGTGCAGTTGCTCCGACTTGGGATAAGACAACTATGCCATGGGTGGATGCTTATGAGAATTTGGGCGCTACAAGCAGTTTGCTTGCCACCTTTTTGGCAAAGAAGGGAGCCATGTCCAAAAGTGATATCCTGATAGACAGGGTATCAGACTATTTTTCAGAATTCAAGCCCATTATTGACGAATGGCACACTCGAATTTATCATATGGAGTCCAATCTCGATGGGGCCATTGTTCACGATCACATCTTCCAAATTCTTGTCAAATTCATTATGAAACTTGACAATGAAAAACCCACTCCATTGCCCTCTCCAGTAGCTCTGAGTCCCCCTGATGCTCCCCCCCCCCCTGGTGCCCCAAGTCGTACCGGGGCTCCCCCCACGGCAGGGCCTTCACTCTGTTGTTCATTAAGGCTCAGCATGATGGTAGGCCAAACCTAATGATGCTGGCATAATTTCCTTTCATTAGAATATCTATATACCTCGCTATATGTCTCCCTTGTTTCACTACACCACCATGATTATGTAACATTGATTATGTCATGTTCTTTGAGCCCATAACTAGCTACATTCGTACATGATAATGTCGTCTGATCTGATACATGCCTCCAAGGAAGAAGCCCAGGCGTTCTTCTCCAGATCTCGAGGTGACTGCTCGGCGGAGTTCAAGACCTAATCGTGGTGTTGGCGGTCATGCAGCACAGCTGCAAAGAGTTGGAGAAACAGTTGCTGCCCCAACAAGGAAACAACCAAAGGACAACGATCTTCAAATCAGCAGCTCAGAAGAAAATCCTATGGCACCTTCGCAGCTTCAGAAAGGGAAAAAAAAGGTAATATGAATTTATTCTGACTGTGTTTAAGCTAATTTTTCAGCCTCCTGCAAAATCTTGCAACATTCCCAAGACCAAACAGAACAAATGCCAGCATCCTCTGGCCCCCACTTCCCGTCCAAATCCATATGTGGCTCGCTCTTTCGAAAGGTTCGGATTCAAGGAACCCCAGTCCAATGGCCGTGAGAAGGCCAGGGAGGGACAGCCTATGCAGAAGGACACACAGTCCAGTGGTCATGAAATGGTTGAGCAGGACATGAGTCAGTGAGACACAAGTCATGAGAGGGAGTCCACGGAACGTGATAGCGGTCGCCAGAAGGACAGGCAGGATACAGATGATGACAGGGAGTTTCCGCATAGCTCTCATGAACGTGATGGGTCTGATGATGACAATGATGACAATGCTGACCGCGATTTTGACAGCAATACACAGATGTAAGTGTTCTTCTGTGTCGCTTGTGTGCTTCCTGATATTATATTCTCATTGCAGTGATAGAGATGTTGGCCGGTATACGCACCAGCGAATGGACAATGACACAGGCGACACAATGGATTTTGACGAAAATCTGGCACAATCTGAGGATGAAGCTTGGGGGGATGTTCAACAAGGAGATCCGGATGATGAGCTCGCAGATTCGGAGCAGGATAAGGTATTTACATTTTTCCTCTCAAATCCTGTGTTAATAATATGCACTAGGTTTATGATGTTCTCGAGTGTCATCACGCAAAGAATGGGCAGTGCAAAGCTCCTTCACCAACCCATTTGTCAAAGGGGAAGGGATATGAGTATGTATGTACCTTCAATCACTCAGAATCCCCTCAGCGACGCCCATCCCAACATGTTCGTTCCAAATCTTCTTGCCCATGCTCTCCTCAATGTATCAAGCCCTCGAAGTCCCCTCATCGATACACATCATCTGGAGCTGTTCGAACGGTTCAAAGACAGTCACCTGCACGCTGTAGAAACAACAATACAATGAGGAACAAAAGAAGCTCCTGACTGTATCTGTAAAAGTTGTAAGGTCGCGCGCTGCCTAGTCTGCGTTACTTGAGAAGCAAGTGCGTTCGACCCTATAGGGGAAGTGAGTGCAGCAAGGATCTAGAAGTGTGCGCTTAAGCGAAGCGCGAGAAAGCGCAGGTGCACGCAAGGTACAAAGGCGCGGGAACGCGCGCGCGTATTAGCGCGAAGCGCGGGAAAGCGCGCGCGCGTATGCGGAAATGAGAAACTAAGCTTAAGTAGTGATATAAAGCAAGATAAGAGATATAAGAGTGCAAAATGTAAAGGAATAGCTTTCTACTATATTCTGCTAAGTAGTAAGTGGGTAGTAACTAGTAAGTGAAAAGTAGGAAAAGTAGGTTTGAAAGGTAAGTAATAGTATGTACTGCTGGCGCTTATATAGCGCGCCTAAGCGCGGTCATGCGGAGCCGAAGCGCTACCGAGTAGGTATGTAAATATATATATGAGTGAGAAAACATGATAAAAATAAAGATGGAACACTATGCTAATAAAGGAAATGGAAATATACGCACTAGGGAGCTTGGTGGACAGTGGATGGATGCATCTGGATGGCTGGCGCTATAGGGCGCACAAGCGCGGGAACGCGCGTGCGCGTATACATCGCGAAGCGCAGGAATGGTGCGCGCATGGCGCGCGTTGCGTGGGAAAGCTGCGCCTCATATAGAGATAGCTGCGGGTAGCGCACAGAGTAATGCTATGAGTTCGTGCTGTGTACTCCTTGGTGAAAACTACCATATCACGCCATGAGAGGCATGATTCTCTACAACGCCACTCATGTCGTTCCTCTCGTTCAAAGTCTCCACATCAACAACAATCATCTCAGCAAGTAAAATATGCATGTGCTTCATCCTCGTGCATGCACTCTCCTCTTTGGCACCCATCTCAACCAGTTACTTCCTCAAGTCATAGTTGCACACAGCCCACCTCTCGTGGACGCTCACTGTCACACTCTTTATCTGGCTCTACTCTGGTTCCAAAACGTGAATGCTCTTGTAGCACTATACCCGAAGACGCTCATCGATCTGGCAGCAACAAACGGAAGGCCAAGACAAACCAGGAGAACCCCTCAAAGCTAGGATTCTATCCGCCCACTTGGCAAGTATTCCTGCAAATGGCAAAGTTAGAGATGCGCTTGCAGGCCGTTCTAGCCCACCCAATTCCAGAATCGCAGGATGCCCTTGGCCTTGCTTGAGAAGTCTTGGACACTGTGCTATGGACATACCACGAGAAGAAGAATAAACTCGAGAGAGGTATATTCTCCTTACACCACTGTTCACCCTTCTCACACATTTTTTTAAGGTTACTTTCTGGAGTATGATACAGATATGTGCCGGCTGGTATGTTCTTACTTTATTGATGGCGAATGCACTCGCTGATAGTTGATGAGCTGTGCGACGATCTCTTCACATTCTGCACAGAGCTCAAAAAGGTCACCATCCCCATTGCAAAAAGGGCATATGATATCTTCCCGCAGGGCTCCACAATGCGAAAGGAGGAGGTTCAAAAGCAGGTCACCGCAGCTGCTACTAGGCTCCTCAAGAGCGGTGACTACCTCCGGCTCCCTGACTCGTCTGGTGTAGGTCGTGACTCCTGATAATAGCGTCATTTACATTAATTCTTGCAGGGAACATTCAAGAATTTTATGGTGCAGGCTCTCAAGGATGCATGTCTCGAATTTTACTACAGCAACAGCAAGAAGGCATTAAAGAACACAGACAAATTCTGCCACACAATCCCCGTCAACACAATGCTTCTTGTAGCAGCAGTGGTATGCTTATTATTATTTATTCTTTCGTCGCTAATGATTCAACAGTTGAAGGGTGTTATCTCTGGCTTTCAGGAGACCGGCACTGACAAGGTCCCTGACCTAACTGCTGAGCAGTGCAGGATCCACTTCGCCAATTTATGGAAATCAGTTGACAAACTACTCGAGGTTCCGGAGCGCCGCAAAGAGCTTGAAGACATGTTAGACCAATGGGCTAGGACTGGCATGGGCAACTTTGATGGGTATGTGTTATGACTTGGATAGGTCGAGCCTCCTGATGCCGAATGGCAGATCTCTAAGCGATCACGCAAAGATGGAAGGATGGTGTTCTAGCCTTGGATGAAGCCCAAGGGATCCTCCATCGAGCTTGGTAAGCGCAGTGGCTCGTTAAGCTGAAGGGCTAACAGATATATGGCTAAGGTAGCATCAGCTTGCCTTAGAAGTGCAGTCTAGACAGAGGGACAGGGGTCACTCTAAAAGGATGAACAAGTACTGGGATTGTACTAGTTTCTAGGGAATACCAAGTAGATCAAAGTAAAGAATACAATGATATCTGTCTAGTCTATATAGGTTTATCCTATAAGGTTCAGTAGGAGCCTGTATCGTGAATCTATCTGAGTCAGAGATAAGATGAGGTGAGGCAAGCCTGGCTTGTCTGATAAGATGCATAAGGCACCTCTTCTATGTCAAGATACGTACATGAGGCGCTCCGGCCTAAAGGTCCATCAACACATGGGATAGCATGTGTTGGTCTAGTTCTACATGAGGCGTACAGCTGTCATGATGGGATCGGGAGGCTTTCTGGGCCTCAGAAGGAGTCATAGCAGTTCCAGACCACTGTCAGTCAGGACCTAGGCAAGGTCCGGCAATGTTATTGTAACAGTATGCAGCTGGGAGTGCAACAGGCAGTGATGCGGAGGACTTTAACATCATACTTTGATTACCATGTTTTTGTTACACAATCATTACAGTTTATGTGAGCCTTACCAGGCGGTATGTCATGTTTACTGTGTGAAGCCTGTCATTAAATGTATCCTTGGTACAGTCTGTGTTGTGTGTACAGTTTGTGTCATATGTACAGTGTGTATTGTCTGTACAGATTGTAGGAGTATGTGACAGTATTGTAACGGGGAGACTTCCTTGTGTAAGTGTAATGTCTGTACAATAGTGTACAATCTGGTACAGTATTGTACAGGTGCCCCCTAGTTTGCTGATGTACATCTGCAATGAGGTGCACAACAGTTGAGTTCAAATCCTGAATTTGACCTTTGAGTGTATTGTGAGTATGATGATAAGGATCCATGTGTGGTGTTGCTGGTTGCTGACGATACTGTATACATTCGACCTTAGGTTCATCACAGCGTCGCCGACACCCCGAACTGAACCTATTTCGTGTGACAGTCACAAGCATCTGGCGAGGACAAACTTAAAATTGTGACATCTGGTTCTCTCATATTTATCTGCAAGATATAATAAATTCTAAATAGTGCATGTTGTTGACTAATAATCAATTGAGCTAGCATAGATTCAATCAAATTCTGAGACTCCAAGTCCTTCAAGGGTAGTCTGACCACCCCAGCGAACCTATCTTAAATTTGTCACAGGTCACAGTGGTGAACAAACATGTGAATCTACCATTATGTCATGTCACACCACAACCCCCATGAACCTAAGGTTAAATGTATGTATACAGTATGCCAAGTAGATCTGCTGAAACCCCTCATGAGAATCACCTCCACTTGGCACCTGTGACTGTGATCGCGATGATGGCTCACTGCCTGTGAATGGTGTGTGCGAATTATGGCCAAAGTAAGGAGTTTCACCTTGCTGAGAACCTGAGTTTGACGAGTAGTTGGGTACAGCAGGTCTTATCAGCAGCGCTGGCGCTTGTTGCCCACCTCCATGCATATGACTCAGATACTGCCCATGATGGTCATGACCTAGGTCTGGTGACTGGTGTGGGCTCGGAAGATGTGCACGTCCATCATGAAGCTCCAGAAATGATCCTGGTGTATACGGTTCCACAGGCTATGTGAAGTAAGATATCTATGTCAACAATATCTAACGATCTGCTCACTCTCTTTGTTGTATCTAGACCACGAGAAAAGATGTTGTCAGGCTATGGCAGCGCATGGTTTCTGACGAATAATGGTGATGCATGAAGTGCTGCATTAATATTCATCTGGCCCGGGGTGCAATATGTGTCTGTCATCTGGTGAAGGTCCTCTCAGTCAATTCCTCCAGCACTTTGGCTTGGATTGGTCACAGCACCACTGGGACAGCGTTGACTCGGAGGGGCTTGACCAAACATTGAGGGCTAGAAGGAGCGGGGAGGGAAGGAATTAATTGTTTCAGGAAGGCCCACCATGGGGAACGTGAATCCCATCAGCAAAACCCTGATTTTGGTACAGCGCCACAGCCACACAGCGTGTCACAGGTCACATATTTTTTTTTGCAAAGGCTCTGTAGCATCACAGAAGTACTGATTCTATGTAAAAATAAATGTAATGTAGTCATAAACATATATATAACAAGATGGTATACTAATAATTATGTTTTATTGAGAAATTGTGTAGTGTGCAGCCCTGTGCAGCACTGTACAGCACTGTGCATGGGGGGACCTCGCTGTGACGCTGTGATGCTGTGCAGGGTTGTGCAGCGCTGTACATAGGGTTAGGGTTTTGCTGATGCCCTAGAAGCCATGGGGAACACGAATCCCCGGAAGCATCATATAAGATAGGCCTCATTCATACTCTGGTTCATCATGTGACTTTAGTGTGACATTTCACTGAATTCACCTGTAGCTCACTGTACATGAAGTGTAATTGAAAATGTTTCCATGATTATGTGCATAGAGTATGTGGCAATACACCCATGTAATTTTTACGAGTTTAATCGAGAAAATGAGGAATGAGTAGGCATTACAGTTATCAAAAAGCTTAAATGTGCAAAATGAGTGACATCAGCACCACCCGCATACCAAGATGGGTTAGATAGAAATGAAGAAAAAAGAAATTCGGCAAGCATCTTGAATGGTCAACCAACCTCAACATGCCACGGAAGCACCAGTGAATGGAAATGCTCTATACTGCTACCTATGTGTGATTGACTGAAGTAGCGCTGAGCGCTCCGCCGCTGATTGTGGCGCCGTTCGACGGTCACAGATGGTCACCAAAGTCACAACGAGTCACAACAGCGCATCTGCCACCAAAATGCCTACTCCTCCTTTGATTGTCTGAAAATTGAAATTATAAGTAGAGCGTTCTGATACTATAGCACATGCTTGCAAAATCACAGAACAGTCTTCGCTACTTGTACGTTGCTGCAGAGTTATGAGGCAAAGATGTGTTTTTGACCTCTTAGGTCACATGATGAACCAGAGTATGAACGAGGCCTATCTTAGAAGATGCGATGTTTATCTCTACCTTAATCCAACCTCTATTTGTTATATCCAGACGTGATTCAGACATTGAGTTAGGAGTAAAAACGGCTATCCTACCCCAGCACACATGGTATAATCCACTTCTATTGGAAAGTAAAGCTAACAGACGAGTCTCAGCGTTAGGAGAGAAGACGCTAACATTGACAATACCTAACAGACAAGTCTGGGGACAAATTGTCGTAAGAGAGAGTGGGCGTGCAAACGAACGTACTACATACCTCAGTGTTAGGAGAGAAGATGCTGAGGTATAAACAACCGTAGACAATGATATAATATAGTAATGATAACAAATGAGAACAAACATAACAAACATTGGTGATGTTGACTTCCAACACACCCCCTCAACTTGTTAAGGTCGTACTCTCGTAGGATCGGATCCGAAGGACTTCGGCCTCAGCTCGTACGCTGTGCCCCTTTCCCAAGTACTGTCCCTTATTTCAAAGTACTAACGATAACGCGTCCGAAGGTCCGGACGGGTCTTGTAGTATATCCGGATGTCTTCCGGATATCGGAAACGTATATAAGACTAATCCGGACGTATCCGAACTAGAAACTAACAGAGTAAGACTACCCGAAGGTAGAGCCGAGGATATAGACTATCGGAATCTATCCGAAGTCTCAGAGGGTGACAAGAGTAAGAAGGACTCAAGTCCGGACGACAGAAAGAGGACAAACTAAGATGATATTCGAACTGAGGTACTACAGGACATATACACGAGTTTATATACTATGAGGATAACGGAAGTATCAGTAAGCAAAGGTCCGAGGCTATGTACGAAGCATGTGCAAAGGTTATCAAATGCGAGTCGGAAATGAGACATAGGTTAACGGATCAGTAATCATACCAGTAATAAGTATAACCGAAACACCGGGAAGAGGAAATACCGAATAGGCTGTGTTTAACGTTATATGAACAGGAAATGAATTAGAAAGCTTATCGTAAATCGGATCGGAAGCGGATCTATACATCGGACCGGATCGGATCTCAGGGTCCGAAGTCCGGAAGAGAAGCGTGAATATATGGGATATGACACAACTTGCCAATGAATACACCCTTTCAGCGTGACGTGAGTGACAAGCTAGTGCGATGCACAACAAAGATGGGCCGAGGTAAGGCCTTAGTGAAAATGTCGGCTGTGTTCTTGTGAGTGGACAACCATACTGGCAGGAAGGTACCTTCCTCAATGTGATGACGGATAAAGTGATAGCGAAGATCGATGTGTTTCATGCGGATATGATTCGCTGCTTCCTGTGAGAGTGCAATGGCGCCCACGTTGTCCGCGAAAAGGCGTAGCGGCAGGGACACAGGGATGCCGGTACAGGCAAGGAAAGATTGCAACCAGAGGCCATCTTGAACTGCAGCGGTTAGGGCCATATACTCAGCCTTGCACAAGGACAGAGCGTGAGTGGTCTGCTTCTTGGCTGAATGCGAGACTGGCCCGCCGTTGAAGAACCAGATATATCCCGATATTGAGACACAATCCTCTGGGCAGGATGCCCAGTCTGAGTCGCTGAAGCCGTGTAGAGCAGGGTTAATTCCTGTGCCGCCATAGTGAGTCTTCATGTGAATAGTGCCCGAGAGGTAGCGTAGGACATGCTTGGCTGCCGAATAATGGCAGGGCTTCACTGAGGCATTATGTTGCGCCAGCCGCATCACGGCGAAAGCGATATCAGGGACGGGTGTACATTGCGAGGTACAGAAGCTCGCCAACAAGCTTCCGATACTCAGACTCTAACTCATCGACATGCGGGTAGATGTCAGTGACACGCCCGAATGGAAAGTTTGGGTCCATGGGCAGGGAGATGGGGTTGCATTCGGACATACCATGCTCGTCGAGTAGGTAGGTGATGTAGTCCTCTTGGTGCATCCAAAGCTCACGAGTGTGCCGATCACAGATGAATTGTATCCCTAGGTACTTGCTGACAGCACCC